ACAAATTCAACACGTAGCAGGCTTTCGCGACAAATATCATCCACAAAAGAGTTTTTTTTTGGGTTAGATCGCGTAAATATATAAATGTGTCGTTAAAAGCCACCACCACCACTTGCATAATGCGCATGCATAATGTACGTTTGACTCATTAACCCCCCCCCCACCCACGTGACGCAAGAGAGCAGAAGCGTGGTCACCACATCTACGCCTCTATATAAGGAACAAAACTGTTAGACTTCACAAATCTGGCTGTCACCTGATGAAGCTAGTTGTAATTACTGGCGAAACGTCGTACGCAGATTGTAAATGTTGTGGCTTGGCTTTCCAAACACACCATTGTGCTGTACTAGTGACGATTTAGCCACGTTCTGCTTACGTGACAACCCTTACTAGTTGGCTGTTGTCGGGTGGTGGCGGGTTTTAACGACACATTTGATATATTTACGCGATCTAACCCCAAAAAACCTCGATGATGCTTCACCACAATCGTCAGTGCGGGTTGGTGAAGGGGGGAGAGGGAGGGAGGAGTGTGGGGGGCAGGACAAGTTCAGATGTCACTCACCAGTGAAACCATGTCAAGCAATTACATTATCATGATGATCATGATAGTTTGAGACCAAAATTACATTTTGTTTAAGTGGTAACAAACACAATTGTCCTTGTGTAGTACCCAAATTCCACCACGATATCGCAGAACAATTGCGATGACCGATCTCTGCAGTATATATGTTACCTATATAGTCGCTATGCTATCTCGGTCTAATGTTTGACCTGCCGTTCTTGTCATTTCATCCGTACATCACCCTCCCCCCTCGTTATTTAACCTCCCCCACTGTGGCTCGGCATTCGTGACAGTGTCCTTCTTAGCGCTGGCAGGACAGTGGCCACGGTGGTGACACGCTGACACTATTCTGGCTCGGCCGCTATTTATACCAACCACGTTCGCCCCGATGCGCCACAGTTCTGAGTCCCGGAACCGTGCCAGCGGGGCGCTGCGGCGGCAACAGCAACAAGAACAACAACAACAACAAAACCGCCCTCCTCGGAATTCCTCCGCAAGCGCAAGAGGTGGCCGGGTGACCCCTGGGTTCGAATTCGAGGAAGCTGTCTGTGCTTATAAAACCGGGTTCCCAAGTGCGGTGGAGTTTTGACGGTCCCAGCCCAGTCACCGAATGGCTGCACGAGAAACAATCACATTTAATTGAGCGGTGTGCTCATTTTGGATAAGTTACAGCTCCGTAAAAAAAAAAAACCTGTCATGCGGGGAATAGCACTCTCACGTGGATGGGCGAGTGGGACAGTTCTGCCCCCCTACTGTGTGGACCAGAGGTCAATTGAAGGGCTCTCAGAGGCAAGCACTGCGAAATCTACTTGTGAGGGAGCGTTCCCGAACACGAAGGGCTGTGTCTGTACTGCTCCGAGGAGAGAGATCGGAATTGGCGCTTCACCTCATGACATGACACACTGATGGCACAGTGAATTCTCCAAGCGAATATGCGTGCCCCCACGAAACGACAAGCCACGGAGAGCCCTTCATCAAGCAGCAGCAGGTTGGAAAGTTCACAACGTAAACTACTGTGAGTCAAATGAGCCAAGTACCCGGCAGGTTTACCATCCACTTCTGTTAAACTATCACCTTGACTTAAAACTTTCGTGACTGCAGGAATTCATAATTCTTTCATTCTTTTGGTAAAGTCACATAGATATAAAAATAAAAATAAAGTGAATAAAAATAAAATAAAAAACAAAAACCACGACGTTTCGATAGCAACACAAGCGGTCGTCATCAGGAAAAAGGGGGTTAGCCTCTAAAGGCAAACTGTTTATAAAGGTTTCAAATGGGCGTAGCCCGAGTGTCAGCAGCATGGGCGGGGCAGCTAATGTTAATGTAAGTGATGGTAGTCGTGGGCAACGGCGGCGCTGGTGGTGGGTTTCCACCACTTAAAGGGCTGCCAGGTAATCATTGCACCTCGCTTTACACAATCACGCTGATGACGGTGGCGGTTGCTGCGAGAGGTGATGGTAGTAGTGGGCAACGACGGCGCTGGTGGTGGGTTTCCACCACTTAAAGGGCTGCCAGGTCTAAAATGGAAACATTACAGCCAGTTATGACTTGAAATGGTTGATAACGTCCTTCAAGTGATTGCTGAGTTTGTACCCATCTTCTCGGTTTAAATATGTCTGTATATATGGATGGCTTCATGAACGAATCTTTGTTGATAGCCAGTGGGTTTGCAAAGTATCTTCGTCTTAGAGAAATCAATTTCATGTGAGCCAGCCGCATTAAAATAATGATCAGCCATGGCAGAACTATTGGTCCTACCGTGTTTCAAAATCTGCCTTATGCTCACGAACACGGTCCGAGACATGCCGCCCCTTTTCCTGATGACGACCGCTTGTGTTGCGATCGAAACGTCGTGGTTTTTATTATTATTTTTATTTTATTTGCATTCACTTTATTTATTATTATTTTTCTATCTACGTGACTTTACCGAAAGAACCAAATAATATTTAATCTATACCCTTCCAGCTTGCCCTTACTCATGCGTTTCGGTACTTGACATTGAATTAGATTTACCTACAACCTAAAATTGAAAGCTGACAAACACTGCTGTGTGTATAGCACTTCTGGGCTGCCACTTGATGTAAATATAGCTGCCGTTAACAGCTTCAATAGCAGGGCTCAATTACACTTTGGCTGTCAAGTGCTCCCTATGCAGCAGGTCGTAAGCGATACAAGCCACGAGACCGTAATGTTAATAGGCTCACGTGCTTGGTAGGACATTTACAGTTACAGATCTTCTGAGTAACGCATTAGCGCCAATTGCACTTAAGTTGTCCTTTCCATTGAGGCAGTTAATGATTTTCTAAGAGATCTACGAATCCAAGGATTGCTTCCACTTACACGTGAACTTAGAACACGTACATTAGCTCTAAATAGCTGCATCAGCTTGAGGTGACCTGGTGGCTTGGCGGTCAGGAAACTACGCCAGTTACACAGTTTGAACTCCGGGGTTTGTATCCAGGTTTAGACCACCTGTGATTGAATGAAGTGTAGTGAGTTTGTGGTCTCATACCTGTAAACTACACACGCAAAAAAAATACTAAATTAGTGTTTTAATTAAATTTGGCTTTCACTTAACTGCCTAAATTTCCGACCTGAAAAGTAAAGCATTTGCGTTGATATTCCACAAACCATTTTGTAGGGCGTATAAAAGACGACCCTTGGTGTGGCTAAAGAGACCACTTAAAGTAACCTCAAAAGTAGTTCTGTAACTTCATTTGCCAGGGCCATTCTCCGACACGGGGCGATGCACTGCTATCTACGAGAGTTTGCGAACTGGAATTCCCTTGCCTCGTGACACGATGATAAGACAGCACGATGAGAACAATTTGCATGTAATTGTACGTGTGAAAGACAATTCTGATTGAGGTATGGACATTGGCAGAAAAGTTGTTTCTTGCAGGAGAAGATGGACCACGTTGTGCATGGTGCGAGGACATGCGGCCATGGCGTAGAATGCGGGTACAAACGTCCGTGTCCATGCATACTGCAGCGTTAACGTTTTACAGCTTGCATGAGTAACGCGATTTGCCTACGACCTTAGAAAGACTTTGGTTTGAGCTTTCATTACATTCTGACGCAGAGCAGCGATAACCTTCACTTCCGACATTCTGTAAAATCCTAGACGTTACCAATGTCAATGAATGGAGTTTACTTTCATATTCGCCCGTTTTCTTTAACGTTTTGATTACTGAGCTAGTATCTCTTTTTTCAGAGACGACCTGGCCACACATGATAGCTCATCAAAAGTGGCTTATATCATCATAAATGGCAATTTGTAGTTCTATACATCCAAATAATCAAAACGAATGTTGTTTCTAAATGTGCGGGGAAAAACTGGAGGTCCAAGGGAACAGTCCACACGACCACCACGGGGAGAGAGAGAGAACAAAATATACAACAGGCATCGTTCGGGTCTAGGATCACACCCACGACCTCCTACATACTCCCACCTCGATTCAATGAAATGTCTGAATTCAGGATTGTGAATAAGTTCAATGAGCAACATTTTTTTGCAAGTGTGGTAAATAATAATCATATCTCTAGTGACTGGGGAGGGACTTGTGAATGCAAGACAACACATTTTGTTTTACTCGCAACTATTATATCACACGCGATTTGAGACACGTATAATGAGCTCAATAATTATAAATGTTGATTGATGCGTAGATGCATCGATACTCCCCTAATGCTTTGAGTTTTGTTCTGTGATATGTAATTGGTTAACCAGAGTTATAATTTTTGTTGAATCTCAATTTCACCCAGGACTCATTTTCAAGTGGATCACTCTAAGAATGCTTGGCTACAACCTTAAAGAGTATTTTTTGTTCCTCATTGCAATGTAAGTAAATGTACTTCCGTCAAGTTTATTTCTTTTTTTATTAAAGTACTTTCCAAAGTGTGCTGGGAGCTGCTTCAAGAATTGAACAAGAACTTGTTCAGTTACTAACGAAGCGACCAGGATGTGGAGCGAAACTTCGGACATCGTGGAGAATAACCACCGCGGTTTGACCCAAACATGCATCAGAAAGCCACACCACTCTCATTAAAGCAACCCCATCGACCCTGCCAGCCCAGAATTTTCGCGTCATCATTATTATTATATTGCTCAATGCTTATAAAGACCTCTCTTTGTTAAGACCTATGCATCTACAGTCCATCATACGGCCGCAAATGTCCTGGACTTTAACAAATTGTACGTGGCCTTGCAAAACGAAGCTCTGGTGACGAGTTCACCAACCACGAGTTCACTAAGCAGGGTGGGGATTCGCAAACAGTGTTGATGAAAGCCACGACACCTCACCCAGCGGTTCAACCAGAAAACACATCACTGCCATTGATGCAATCCCCCATCACCTTCCTGATTCCGCACTGTCCCCCCCTCCCTCCATCCCCGCCTCCTCCCCTGCCCACTCCATCCCCGTGCCCCTTGTACCTCCGCGGCGTACTGCACCCCGTCAACGTAGTGCTCCGAGCCGAGCTGTCTCCCCGCGCTGCCCCAGTGCAGGTGGAACTGCACAGCCTCGTAGCGATAGGGCAGGCCCCCTTCCGACATCTCCATCCCGGGCGGCAGTTTCACAAACACTGTGGGCATGAGAGGGCCGAGGCAGGGGGGGGGGGTTGCCACCTGGCCAGGCTTTTCAACGATCATCTAGGACAGGGGTGGGGAACCTTTTGTCTGCCAAGGGCCATTTGGATATTTATATAACATCATTCGCGGGCCATACAAAATTATCAACTTAAAAATTAGCCTGTTATATTTGGTCAAACATTGAATTAACTCACCCCTAATGTGATGGCTGGAACTGCTTCTCTTTAGTGAGGCGTGTGATGATGTTAGCTGGTATTGATGATGTTAGCTGGTGTTGATGATGTTAGCTGGTATTGATGATGTTAGCTGGTGTTGATGATGTTAGCTGGTATTGATGATGTTAGCTGGTATTGACGATGTTGCTACTCGCAACTGCTTTTCCAGGTTTGCTCCTAGATTTATTGAATTTCGAGTCTTGCCTGCGGTTGCCTTGGCAGGGCCACACCAAATGATTTTGCGGGCCTCATACGGACCGCGGGCCGGACGTTCCCAACCCCTGATCTAGGACATTAAAAGTCCTATTTTTTTTTAAATAATTTCCGTAATAATGATACACCACTTGGAACGATGCATTATATCCACACGTCGCTCTACCTTCTTCTGGTATTTTTATCTATTCTGCATATTCCAATGACATGTCCCAGTTTTGTTGTTGTATTTCAGAGGTGGTAACTGCAGCTCTGGGGAGGAAGGTGGGGGGCGGGGGAAGGTTACATAACGGGACCAGGTTCGTCAAGAAGGTGGACTCCGTCGACACTGGCAAAACTCCCCGCAAAGTAAATATCCTTCTTCTTTTGTCGTGAGATCAATACTCAAGCCTCCGCGACAGTGACCCACCTTTCCTCAGGCATAATTACTTTGAGCTGCCCTTCCTGCTGCCTCTGTCGTGTTATAATTGTAGGGTTATAAATGAGGTACAGCACTTGTAATTGACGGCTTTTGATCAAGCAAATTCTGGATGAAGGCCTCCCCATGCTCGGTCAGTTGCGGTTGGCTATTTCTAGCATACTTCACCACGCTGGTCAGTGCGGGTTGGTGAAGCCTGGGATCGGTTCAGATATAATTCGCCGTTGATGTTAGTCATGGCCGGGAAATCAAATTTAGGTTCGAAGTACAGTGCGCTGCTAACCATTGAGCCACCGGTGACCCCCAAAAGTACTTGAAAACGTACGTTTGAAAACAAGTACGAACTTGCATGCTCTATAACCCGTAGTTTAAAGTGGGCACTTTGAACTTCAAAAGGCCCCCGTTCCGACAACTTGTGGCTACAAGCACAAGGAGGCAATAAACTCCATCCAACCTTTTTCCAGTGGCAGGTGAAATAATCATGTGGTGAATGAATGATTGAGAGGCAAAGGCAAAGCGTAGGAGATGAATAATGCACCTGCGCTGCAGCCCCCACCATTCCTGGGGGAATCTGCGCCAATCCCAACTGTCCAGTGGATGACGGAAAAAGGAGCAGTCCTGCAAATTGTTGCTTGTGCTCACCGCTGGCGGAAGGACCTCCACTATTTTGGCCTGCTCTTCCATGCTGACCAGACGTTTTCGAAGAGGTGGGAGTACCCGCACTTTACCCTACCACAAGCTGCCTCATAGAGTAACTATGGTAAAACCTTTATACTATCCAAGAGCAAAAAAAAGCTCTGGCCACAAATGATATCCCAATAAAGTGACATCATGTGGACATTTATAGAAGCCAAATACTCCAAATACTCTAATGTTGCCACGGCATAGTTGGTTTTACACTTTGATCATTCGTGGAGTTGTAGTCATCGTCCTGCTTGATGATTTTCATCCAATCAGTCATTGTAGACCGAAAAAAAAGAAACTCCATTTGGCGACTATTTTGGTCACGAATTTCCCTAATGAAGCAACAACGACAACAATCACCACCATTCATCACTAAGTGACAGTCACGTCACTGCAGCGCCGGTGGCCAGGCTTCGTATGCTTTGAGGCCATGTGAAGGTGGTCAAAGGTTCGCTGGCAAGAGGTCATTCATGACATTAACACCGGACGGACGCTTTGGTGGTATGCCCGCGCACGCACGTACGTACGTGTGTGCCCGTTGTTGGTCATGTTGTAGGTGGTCTGGCTGGGCGCGTCGTAGCCCAAGACAGAGACGGGGGGCAGGTCGTGGGCGAGGTGGGTGGCATCCGTTCTCACGTCCACAGGCGACTGGTTGTCCCCGCCGCAGGTTGGGTACTTCTCCTTCCAGTGCTCCTGTCCATGGGGACCTGTGTGTGTGTGTGTGCGTGTGTGTGCGTGTGTGTGTGCGCGCGTGTGAGTGTGGGGCCAGGGGAGCGGTAGTGTAGCGGTGAGAGCGCTGCTCTACGAACCCGATGACCCGAATTCGATTCCTGCTCACGGCCAAGACCAGTGACAATTAATTGAACCGGTCATGAGCCTTAAAGGTCAACTCAGCCTCAAATGAGTACCTGGTGCAGTGTGCAAATATCGCTACTAAGGAGACAAAGGTGGCCGGGCGTGGTGGTGGCCACCAACCCCCTCGTGTGCCATGCCGGCCTTCATAGGTGCGCGCTAACAGCAGCTTGCCCCAACAGTCTTTTATAGGCTATACGGGGGGATCTTTGTCTTTGTGTGGGGCCAGGCACAAGCGGGGCAGTGGGAATCTATTCACCATCATAGTTGGCCATGGTCCATCCACTGTTTGATGAAGGTTCTCCCCATGCTGTTGCTATCGCTCACCTTCTTGAGATGCAATATTACAATCTTTCACCTGCGCACGAGCTGACCACATCGCTCCATCTCCACGGCGGATGGCCTATTGGGCATGTTCTCTCCAATAACTGCTACTCGTCTCCAAAGTCAGATTCATCCACCAGCCATAATTATTCCGAACCACGTGTCCTACCCAAGCCTCCGCATCATAATTTTGTCTCTCATTGTAATTCACAGGATGCAACTTTTTCCATGCTTCTTTTTGCACTTTCATAATTTATTCTCGTGTATTCGTCAATGACAGATGCTTCCGATTAATATGTAACAAAAATGTAAATACTCACCAACTTCAAAAAACACATAGGAGGCAAGTTACAATTATTCACACTCGGAGGGGTTCGATAAATGGTCACATTTTGGTGGTACAACCCTTATTTTTTATTTTACCAGGTAAAGCCCACTGAGCTATGTCGCTCTTTTTCAGAAGAGAACTGACCACAAATGATAGCTCGACGAAGTGGCTTATCACGTGGACATTTATATCAGCCTCTCAATGCATGTTTCTAAAGGCGGGGGGAAACCCGGAGGACCTGGAAAAAAAGCCACGAAATCCACGGGGAGGACATGCAAACTCTAAAGATACAGGCGCCAGGGTCAGGGTTGAACCCACGTCCTCCTGTATAAAAAGGCGAGGGAGTTGGAGCGGTGGCTGAATGCTGCACGGAGGCAGCTTAGAGTGGCGGAGAGGTAGAGGACCTGTGTCAGGAACGACTGGATATAACTAACGCTGGTAGAAGGAGCTGCATGTGTGTGGAGGAGGCCACGGGGGCAGCTGTGGGGGAAGACGCCCAGGTGATAGCTGCATGATACTAGAAGGAACCGACCTGGATCCGGAGTTTTCTTGCTTAACCAAAAACTGCTGGGTTAACATCAGTCTGAAAACCCAATGGGCTAAATGACCAAAACACATATCGTACGTATTTGTATGAGAGCCATAATGGAGTTGTGCTCATGTTTGCTGTCACCTTCGGCAGCATTGCAAAATGATGTGGCATGGGTGTCTGTATATGAAGGTCATGTGTGCCGTAGTTGACGGGCCCTGTTGGAGCAGTCGCTGTGGTGCGGAAGGAAAGCGGGTCTGGTTAGCAGGGAGGAGATCAGCTGCTTTTGTCAGCCTGTGTCATACTGAACCGTATGGGATGAACAATGGATGTATGGCTTGAACAAATCATTGTGGACAGCCTTCCAGTCATAACTCTATGGTTGGAAGTCGATATCGATTATGAAATTAATGGAGAGTCTTGTTTTGAAACAGTTCTACCATTGGCAACCCGGCGGGTGTTTACCGTATGACACACATATTGCTTTAAATATTTTTGAAACACAGCACTGTGTGTATAGCCATTGAATTACTGGATACATATGTCTAGGTAGATTATCTTATATAAGACATTATTCCCTGTGCAAACAGACCCAGGGTGTGCCGTGTACAGCCCTACATAAAGTTTTCGACTATTTCACAAGTTGGCTTTCGCGACCAACATTATTGATCGCAAAGGTTTTTTTGGTTTAGGTCGCATAAATGTAGATGTGTCATACACCCACCTAACACACCTGTGTGCGGAAGTGGTAAGAAATCGGTACATTTTATTCACGGGACAAAGCCTGACTGATAATATAATGACCTGTGTCGGGTGGAGGTGGGTGTACATTTCACGTGATCTAAGCCGCAAAGACGTTATCAAGAATTACCGATTGTGTTTAACCTGCGCGCCAGCCTTATTGCGTTACGTGAGACGCGTTCTTTCGATGGCTATCTAAGCCCACACTATATACACAGTGTGGCCTGCAGATTTGTTACCACGGTAAATGTTTGCTTGCTTTGCAGCCCGCACTCGTCTCTATTAAGCTCCACGTGGGCAAGGCACTTTCCTAACGACCACCTGGAAGATGCCGAGGATGAGAGTTCATGTGGACATGCGTGCTATCCGTACTGCAGGACCACGCAGCTGTACGAGCACGAGCACACGCGCCAATCATCACACGGCGACGTCCAATTAACTACTGCGGAGGAAGCGGATCCAACTGGACCCCGGCTGTGGCTTTCCAAGTCTGCTTTCAATGTAGTAGTAAGAATACGATTTTTTTTTAAATGAGTTGTTTTTCATACAGCACCCGATACGCCCGGGCGTCTCAGAACGTCGTGAGAATATTATTGTGTTATTTTATTTTATCAATTTATTATTTTATTCTCATTCTACGTGACTTTACCGAAAGAACCAAAGAAGATCTCAAACATTTTAAAGGGCACCACCCAGTGGCAGCTCTCCCTGCGGACACAACGCGACTCGACGCCTCACCTCCAAATGGGCATTGCGTGTGCAAGTAGGGGGCGCTGATTGCCGTGTATAAACCCAATTGAGTACACGAATTTATGGGTAAATATGTCAAAAGGCATAAGCTGATCAGGGAGCCTCAGTAAAGTCAAGGCATCTGGAATTGCGATTGGCTAGGGAGGAGATGGCAATCTACTGACCTGTCTGACTGGGAACACCTCGTGTCTGACTGCCTGACTGGGAACACCTCGTGAGGAAACCTGGGGAGAGTGACAGCCAGACATTTCTGGCTGGGGTTTGAGAGGGCATGATCCAGTGCGACCAGGGTCTACAAGTCCTGTGCACAGTGGAAATAACCGGTGGGTCCTCATTTAGCTCCACTCTATCCATACATCGCGAGACAGATTAAGGAGATTGTCAACGTTGGGACGTGGCAAGCCCCTCCTGAGAAAAGTGGTATGTATTATGTGTTCTTTTTTTTATAAAGCGTTATTTATTACAACACTTTTTTTCAGGAGAGGCTTGCCAAGTTTTTGCAGTAGGGGAAGATGTTACTCCGTATAATCCCAATAAAATAATCAACATAAGAATGTTTTGGCCAATACCAGTTTCATTGCAGGTTAAAACTATTTTTATTATGGAAGGAATCCGGGGAACCTGGAGGAAACCCGTCCAGAACCTGACTTGTCGGACTGTTCCCAGTCGGACAGGTCACTACAGGTGTAGAGAACAAACAAACTTTACACAAACGTGCCCGAGTCGGGAATCACACCCGGAACCTTCTTGCTGCAAGACGTAAGTTCCACCACTGCGCCACACTGCCTGCACGTGCAAGTAACGAAGAAGGGAAACCATCACATTCGGTTTGGATGGAATACTTCATACTGACCAAAGACGAGAGGCGTTCACACGAAAGTTTCCGGTGTGCGAAACTCTCTTACTCACCTGGGGGCAACGACTCAACAGTAATGAAAAAATGCGATTGCATTGGGTGTTTTTGTGCACCCAGACTTGGGGGTCGCAGTTTTTGGTTCAAGACTGGTGAGGGAGATAGATGCAGGGGTTCAGCAATGGCCAGTATCCTAAATCTTCAAGGTATTTACAACGTTACACTACAATATTGCGGCTTGCGTTCCCAGCGCTGCACCTAGCAGTATTGTAAATCCGAAGCAGACATTCCTCCAATGACGGGGGGGGGGGGCGGGGGAATCCGCAATTTGTGGCCAATGATCAACATTCCTGCGTGAAATCCACGCGCATGGATTAACATTCGACTCGGAGGGAAGTGAATCTCCCTGTGCCATGGCGAGTGCATAAACGTGCATCGGTACTGAGAGAATTTGAAACAAACCATTTTAGTGGAAAATGCCTTTCATATACATTTTTTTTTCAGGCCCAAATTCCAACACTGTGTATAATAAATAACGGCGGTAAATTCCGTCATTGGGGGAGAGTACACCTTCTAAAACAAAAGGACAAGACTAGACAATATCAATCTAGATTTGAAGCTTTCATGACTGCAGGAATCCATACTTTTTGGTTCTTTCGGTAAAGTCACGTGGCAAGTAGAAAATTAAAGTAAATCACGACGTCTCTCTCCCACTTCAGCAAAAACTATTTTCTTGCTGTGGTTTTCCCACTAAACAATATGTTACAAAATAGAATGTCTATGGCAATTAGTTTATGGCCCAGATCCCTGTGCGGCAAAGCGATGGGGGTAATGAGGCAACGCAGCTCGCTTAGTGCAAAGACATTATCCGCTTTCCCGAGTGCTTCATTGTGTCCAAGACTACCCGCACTGAATTTTAATAAAGTTTCCATCCTTTGCCAAGAATTGCTAGGATTTGGCTCACAGTCGGCCTACAGTGCGACTCTCTCAAAAGGGAGATGGAGAGGACACCTTCATCAGCAGCAGCAGCAGCCCCTGTGAGCATACACATCCCATGGCAGCAGAGACGCGGCTGCACCTCAAATAATCATCCAAATCCAGCACTTTCTGTACATGATAACAAAACCCATTACAACAGAGCATAGTGTGCGGGCTGAAAACAAATACATTTAACCCATAAGTGTGCCTGGTGGAACGGACATGTTGTCCGACTCTTCGGAGTTGTCGGTCTGAACAACAATATGGCTTGTCGTTCAGCTCCGGAGGTGGCGGAAGGCGAACAGCTTTGTACGCACCATTAGGTGATTACATCGCATCGAGAGCCAACCGCTCGTCGCAATACGGACAAACTTTTAAATCTGCGGAATTGCCCCGGCTTCCTGTACTGGCAAATGTTGCAATACCAGATAGTTGCTACGTGAACTGCACTGCTCAGAAGTTGACCCAATTCTGCCAATCAAAGGTGCTCTAAACAACATTCCAGGGCTGAGATCCAGAGAGCCGTTTTGGAAACAGGCACAACCTCTACATTACTCGAAATTCAGCATCTAAATGGAATGGAATATTTCGTGGAATTCAAGCATCGTGCCCCAAGAACACCTGATCAGCGAGCCCACCAACACACAGCCTGGCTTCCACAACACGCAGCTTATCAGTGAGCCGACCACCACACTGCACGTCTTCCACAATGCGCAGCTCATCAGTGAGCCCACCACCACATTGGTCGCCACCATCACACTGCCCGGCTTCCACAAAGCATAGCTCATCAGCGAGCCGACCACCACACTGCCCGGCTTCCACAAAGCGCAGCTCATCAGCGAGCCCACCACCTCCCTGCCTGGCTTCTGTCTTCCATGGAAACAATGAGCAGCGCTTTACCGGATCCGCACAAACCACAGGAGATGCGAATACCTCATGTAAACGTAAAAAAATAAATGTCTCTATCCTGCAGCAAAGAAACACCAACCCATTAACCAAATTACTTCACACACATTTTAAGGTGGTGTGTCTGCAGTTCAAAAACTCTCAGACAAAGGAATGTAAGGGTTAAATCACTTAGAGCTGAATCTCTAATCGTTGCTCTTCATTGGCTGTACAAAATAATAATCATCATCACAAGACATGCAAGACCTGGCGGGAGTTGTACCTTCATGCTGTTTATGAGCATGCCGTTGTGTGTTATTAAACCGACCTTAACTAACCACTGAAACCCAGACCTGGGGGCAATTACAATTGTAACAGTGTTATTCTTAATTAATCTAAATAACTATGTAGTGGTAACTTCAGCTGATATCTGCTGCCATTATAATTACAATTTATTCATCCCAGGTCTGCTCAAAACAAAACACTCAAAACGCCTGGCAACAGCCTCCAAAACGATAGCAGACTGCGCCTGTATCAATTACAAACAAGTACATTGCCCAACAGACTGCTCATCACAGCATACCTGGAGTAGTTTTTTTTCTGTCTCGAGCCAGCGAGTACGAGTTGGGTTGACCACAACACGGGAGCATATCAGGATGTTTCTAGCGCTAGTGGAGCCGTCAGATATGCGATGACCTTTGATCTCAAGCATGCAAACAATTTATGACCTCTCCACCACATTCGGGCGCTTGCACCAGGTCAGTTACGTCACATATGCCGGAGTTTGCCTTTTTCCGCCAACAATTGTTCTTGCTACACCACTGCAGTACCAGCAATATTGTGTCCCGCAGGATGCGAATTAAACACCTGCCTGTTGCACTCCAAATCTGGAATGTCCGTTTACATTTACGACGACGATGACAACAATGTTGATGTACACGCACCTCTACATGAAACTGCGTCTCTGATGCACCACGAATCTCCCTTGAAAACTAGACTGGGTAACTGGCTGAATTGGCCTTTCTACGTAACAAATAAATATTGATTGATTAATCGATATGAAGAGGCTGCACAAAACATTCGGGCATACATCACAGGCTAAAGAAAACCTTTATATGTGTGTTTAATTTTAAAGAACACAGAGGCTGAGTGTAGATGACCAGTGCCAGCCAACAGGATTTTGTTCAAAAATGCTCTCTCCAACCAAGGACAGCACAAAGTGAAAGAGGAAATACGTATGTATGCTGAACTTCTTGTGCACCGTACGAAGCCAACCGTGACAATTGGAGGTGCGGATATTCCCTTAGGTAACCTGAATAAATAGGTGACCGAGCAAATGTATGTTCAAAACAAGCTGAGGAAGTAAAATAATAAACGGCCAGATTCTCACAATGTCACAGCGAGTGGTTTGACCTGGCTGATACTGGACGCCACTAAACTTTAACCAACCTGAGCACACCCCGCTCAACAAGAGACAAACATTTGAGATTCCTTCCCTCGCTCGCTCGCTCACGAACAACTGCTGGAATTTTCTCAACATAACCAGTCAGCGAATTGCTTCCGAGGCTTGGCAGGCGAATGAATGGCAAAGTGAACATCTCTGAGCTCGTGTTCAGTTGGAGGCTGCTCAATTGCGCATTCGCTGGAGACCGATTTTACATTCCACGGGGTCTTTGCTCACACAATTGGTGGTCAAAGGACTTTAAGCAGGAGATGATGAATCACCTTTGCCTGGTCAGTTTGTTTCGAAATGTACTCTTCCCAGACAAACAAAAACACACATTCATCAAGAGCATTGCCTTGCTACGGAATATAAGATGCAGGACGATTCTGCATGTACAATTTGGCCCATTTAAGTGGCAACACGCTCACATTTCAAGCTGAACTAACACTTCCTCTTCGTTTCTTTAGATGTGTGAAAATATTTTTTCTTACGCGAGTAACTTAAGGCTGAAGACTAACAAAATGTAAGTTTATTCCCTACGACAACACTGGAAATGGACAACCCTCTACAGTGCATATCGGACTAATATAATCTCGAGATATAACGTATGAAACTATATTTTATTTTCAATACTTATCTTTGCCCTCCCCTCAATCTCAATACGCTCATCACATTTGTTGACGCTCTCCTCCGTAAGATAAATTGATTATTAGAAAACAATGGGGTATCTATAAGTGGTTCGACAATACGGTAACTTTTCAACCATTTTGGGTTTTACTTTTCCACGGCAGAGAGGATCCACAGATTGACTTAGGGGCCGTCCATAAATGACGTCACGCGATTTTTGATGATTTTTGACCCCCCCCCCCCCCCACTCGTCACACGGCGTCACAAAAAGTCAGGCCCCCCTCAAAGATGACGTCACAAAGCTCTGCCCCCCCCTAAAACCATATTTCCATTTTTAAAATAAGACACGCTTCAAATCGCTTTAAACTATTGTCATTGTAGTGCGTATTTAATGTGGCGCTGCACTCTGATGTTGTAGGAGAAAACATTTATTAAAAAGTCAATTTAATTAAGTAGAACGTGTTGTCTATATTTATTTAAAGTTGCGCATTTTGATGTGACGTCACATTTCTCAAACCCCCCCCTCGTCACACATCGTCACAAATGTCTGACCCCCCCCCCCCCCCCAGGTGCGTGACGTCATTTATGGACGCTCCCCGACGTGTCGTTGGAAACTGCACTCTAATTAATAATAATAACAACAATTTCAATAGCGTCGTAGCCTGGCAAACCATTATAAGGGCCCTGAGGAACAGAGATATTTTGAGGTTTAGAAATGACCACTTTTCAATTACCGTGTGAACAGTTATCTATGAGTAAGCAATTGCATATGAAACACCTCGAAATAAAAACAAACGATATCTGTGTATCAACTCCCACCTGCATCTAAATGAAAAGTATTCAAATGTCACCGTGAAACCGTACCACGGGTAGCGTCATCGCGCTGCAGACATCGGTGGTGCAGTCCTTCAACTTTGCCTTTGATGTCACGAGTCTTATTACTCGACGAAACGCTGACCAACAATGTCCAAATGTATTGTCGAATAAAGTAGCATTCTTGCTACCGAGTGTGCTATCATAAAAATTGAGAGATAAGGAAACTCACAAAAACGGAGCAAATTGATGACCGTGCGCTAAAGAAGCGTGGGGAAGTGGAATTCCACCGAGGGACCCCAGTGGGACGACTGTTAAGAAAGAGTAAGAGGTCAAAGGGCAGGGCACATCTCAAGAAGGAACGATGGCCAATCACGACACTGGTGACAGATGGAATTGCTGTCAGAGTAGAAAATAAGCTCGAGATTACGATCACCATGGAGATGGAGCAATGCGATTAGCTCACGTGCAGGAGCTCGATTAATTGTGCCAGAGGGAGTGTGAGATGGTGATGGCTTGGGGGAGGCCTGCATCCAGCAGTGGATAGATGATGGCTGACGATGATGATGAACACAATTTATTTTAAAGCTGCATTTTCAAATTAACCACCCCTTCAACAGCTTACCATTTGACAGATGACAAAGCGCGGATGAAAATAATTTCGGAATAGTCATAACTGAGCAATGCAAATGTAGACACTTTAACGTAACAACACAAAGACTCAATGACTCACCCGTGTACGTCCAGTGATACTCTCCTGTGAAAAATAAAACAAGGAATACGTGTGAATTTTTAGACGTAACATTTGGTTCGACACATACTTTGTTTAAACAGTATGTAACACAATACGATAACAACAAAACACCTACAATGGCATCCTTTCGTCATTGGAAGAAGATGGGTTTTCAGTTTTCACTTTTTCACAGGATTTAAATTGATTTGAACATTTTCTGTAATGGCTGTAAGAGCCGAATCTGGTTCCGCATGGTCAGCTGCCAGAGTTGTCCCATCTTGAAAAATTGGCTCTGGTCCTGTCATGGCCGCTGAATGATTGACGACGTCGCGGTAGGTGCCATGCTGTGTACGAACCGCACGCTTGTCCCGGAGCTGCTGAGCCAGTGAACATCCTAGTCACGTGCGCCTACCTATCAGAGCTTCCCACCCATTGCCGTTTACGTTAAAAGTCTCTGAGGGCACGCTTGCAGACGTCCTTGAATCGGGAGTTTTGGGCGACCAACCATTTCTCTTGGCACATCTGGGTAAAAGTTGACTTATCGCGTGCGAGCGCTAAACCAAGGCCACATGGATGTGTCACAGTTTGTCCCGTGCTTCTGGGTTGGAGGGGACTATTTCATAATCCAATTAAAAAGCAATAATAAACATTGAACTTCTTACACCACGCACAGAAATGAAGTAAAGGCAATGACGGTTACACCATCATGCACAAAACGGGCTACTCGACAAAGGTAAAGCTGAAAATCGCTTTAAATTTAGTGGGGAATGCTTCACTGTGATGTAGGAGCGAATTCACGCAAGATTAAGAAGAATATATGAGCGTGTGAAAAAGAAAGGTTAGATTTGTGAACACACAGAGAACCCGAGCGTTACGCCGTGAACAAAAATTCCGTAGAGGCCTCGGCGCAGGGTGATAAGTTGGGCAGGTCGGATATGCGACGGTCGGATATGCGAGGTTCTACAGGTATCACACAAAGTTTTCACACAAGACATCATCCACTTCTCAACAACTTATCCTATACAGATTTATATAGCAGCGCCTTAACCCAAGGCGCTTTACGACAGTTATACAATTGTGCATGAGATGACAGTGGTTAAAAATAAAGAGTGGGGGTTATTGAAAATGATGGTGTAGTTAAGGACAGGTGGGAGAGGTTAAAGGAGGGGTTGCGATCGTGATAGGGGTTGAGATATGTCCTGTCATACATATAGCTGGGGGCCGGGGTAGAGCAGGAATAGGATGGGCAAGGGAGAAGAGATGGGGTTGGTTGTGTTGCAACTCTCTGATATTTCACAGCAAAAACACATGTTCCCTTGTTGGGTCTCAATCTTATATGCGGGTGTATATATATTGAAAACAAATTATTTTAACAAGTCACAGCCTCGCTATCACCGTCGTTTCAGATATTATCTGGATTGTTTTGGTATCGGTTCATGAAAAAAGTCACGCAAATGTATAAACAAAAATGTATATCACACCATTAACTGCGAACAGCTTTATTCACTGGAGTATTATAATCTGCAGAAGTATGCCCATTTCGTTATAAATCTGTAAGCACTTTAATGGAAATGTGACCGAGTTCATAACAATTAAGCTGGATCAGTTGTAAAAAAAAACATATAAAAGCCTCCTTTTGAAGGAGGCAAGATTTGTAGTGAATTAAAAAATGGTATGCATAGACATTCAGCAACTGGCTGAAATTTTTTAAATATAAAATATTAAATGCAGGACCCTCCTACAAGAGTGTGGCTTACCTGTGTAAATGAATAATTGTCATTGTATGACAAATGCCTCCCCGTATTTTCTGTAACAGACTGTTGGGGCAATTGCTGTTCCCGAGCACCTATGAAGGCCGGCAGTGTGGCACACGAGGGGGTGGGTGACCAACACTACGCCCGGTATTGTATGACTATATCTCATACCACGTACAATGACTACACTGCTAATACGCTCCAACAAAATGTTAATATAAAACGCACATGTACATTATTAGCAAGATTCTATCTTCATGCATTGATATTTAGTCATTTAGTTCAGAGCCCTTTGTCAATCCACTGGTGGATAAAAGCCTCCAAATGCATTTTGGCCATCTGGGGCTTGTTTGAACGGAGCAGTTCAAATCTCGGCACGAATATTTGCTGTGGAACTGGTATCAAACCCAAAGTGCGGTGTTCTAACCAGGATACCACCGGTAGGTTACTGTGCTTGGTTCATGCCCCGACATTACTGTGTCTGCAGGTCGACATCCACATAGCTCTAGACATTTAACCGCAAACCGCAGAATATAAATGGCAGTCACTAATCCCAAAGGAATGCTACTAAATGAACCGACCCCACCGTATTTTTCGGATTATAAGATACACCTCCCCCCCCCCCCCCCATATTTTAAATCTAAAGTTGCGAGGTGCGTCTTATAAGCCGGTACGCATGTGGGTGAGTGTGCGAGAAAGAGACCAAGTTTGAATGATCTTATTGACACTGTGCACACGTTTGCGGTGCGTCTTAGAACACACACGAGAGAGAGAGAGAGCAATTGCAGAACTGGAACACAATTGTTGATACAACTGTGATGCGTGTCTTAGTTGTGGGGGGTCAACTTTGCTTACCAGTGGCGCTGTCTGCAACTCGTCCATTCAGCACCAGGCAGATGCCCAGCAGAGCAAGCACACGTCCGCCGCACAGCCCAGACATTCCAAACGACCTTTAAAAAGAATAGTGGATGCACGAATTGTCAAGTACTTTTAATTGCGTACACTCTGCGAAAGGAGGCTCAACGTGTACTTTACACGGACATTTACGTGTATGTAGTAGTAGTAATATTGTATTCGTTACTGCTGCAGAACATACCGGTAAAGGTTGCCCTTCCTCGTGAAGTTGGTGGTGCTCTCGAAAACCTGACCTTTTGAAACTCAAGAATGAGCACGTGTTGAGCTCGACTTTTTTTTATTTGGGAGGGGGGGTGTTCTATTCACAGTCTTATCCGTCTCAACTTGGCCTCCGGTTTTGGCAAGCTTTTGGGCAACCGCGCGAGTTGTGTCCCGTTGAAGGCGAGCGAGCGGACCCCCACCAACGACGAGCAGAGGGCACGCGACCACCGGACAACCGTGAGCGAGACGGACACGTGCTCACCGATGACTCTCTGCACACTCTCTGCACGCTCATTCACTCGCTCGCCCACTTCCCTCCTCCAGCGCTGGTGGGAGGGGGGGGGGGGGAACCAGTGGGCGTGCATGTAGTTAAGAGGCAGTGGCTTCTTCTATGCTGGGTGAGAAACTGGGTGAGGGATTGATCTTCATTCACAAGCCCGCCCTCCCCCAAACCCCCATCCTCCTCCTCCTACCCTCATTGTCCGAAAATTCAAAACCAATTTGCATTTATATATTGGCCCAGTAATGCGAGAGAACCTGAAGATGCTGTAAAGAAACAGTGGGCGTACATTTGTTTCAGAAAGAAAGAGGCGCGCGTAAGTCGGTCTTTGTGTGCGAGTCGGAGGGTCGATATGGAGAATCGTAGGCACAGTATAGCGGTTAGTGCGCTGCGCTGCGAACCTGGCGACTCGCGTTCCATTCCAGCTCACGGCCAACACGAGTGACGATTACCTGGGCCAGTTCTGGGCCGGTGTGTTAAACATCAGTACTGGGAAGACAAAGGCATCCGGGTGTGTGATGCCCCCCCCCACCCTTCGTGTGCCATACTGGCCTTCATGTCTTTAACACAACCTGCCCCAAGAGACTCTTGCGGCTATACGGGTTGTATTTGTCATTGTATGAGTATTCTACAGTAGTGTATATGGACCTCTGTATGCCTCAATGATTTTCGATGTGAGTCGTAGTGTTGTGCGTCTACGAGTCTGGGTTAGTCAATACAATTCAGACTTACAGAGCATCTCCATGGGATCATCTCAAAAGGCACACACAGTGGACGTCAATCTGGGTTTTGTGTGTGCGAGTCAACACAATAACATCGGAATGACATTTAAATACGACTGAATCTCATTAAGACTGCTTTTTAAAAAAAGTTATTCATTCAATCCCCCATTCATTTATTCGCGCAGTTTGAGAACGTGTTGCGCATTCATGATCACCAATCTCAACAGACGCAATACAAACAGCACAAACATCTGCAGCAGTACGCATTTGTCCCAGGTCCAATGTCCGCATGCATTACAAATCTTGTGCACGATTTCAAAACCATCGACAATAACACGTATTGTAAATGTCACGTCAACCTGACTTGGAGGAAGTTGTTATGCAGCTTGGGTTTTCGTTTTGTTTCGTGGGCGGCCACGAGACTTGAGCTCGCAGGGGCCAAGAATGCATAAATAGGATGTCGCAAACACCAATGGGCACCCACATACATCCACGCACACTATATCTATAGCACCACCCTTCTTGCGGAATGCATTGCTAAGCACATGTGGCTGTAAAGCCAATTAAGTGAATCGATTCAGAGATATAGGTTGGCGTGGTCTTTTTATTCTATTCTTACCGTGCCCTTTACTGCTCGCGGACCGGAATGCTAATGAGCTATTAAGGGCCCTATCTATAATACGTATTAAAATACCTGTATATGATATTACGAGGAAATGTACAATGTTCTTTGGTTCTTTCGGTAAAGTCACGTAGGTATACTATCTTTCAGTAAAGTTACGTAGGTATAATATTCAAATCTAGAATGTACAATGTTGTATGAAACACAAATGAGTTGGTAAACATTGCTTGAAGCAAACGTTTTACGAGTATTAATATTGGTATATTATTGTTATAATTCCTTAAGCGTTGTTGGTGATAACAGTCGTTCAGTCCTAGAAGTGAATGGAACCAGGTTGGTGTGTAAATTATAGGTCTCAAAACTGTACGAAATACGTAAAATGCGACTTGCAGAATTTGGTTCCAGTGTTCATGATCCATATGGTCTACAGATGCCGGAAGACCGCTTTCAAATAACCAAACAAACTCCGCACACTCTTGGTTCATCACGCGCAGTGACATCACCTATTGCGGCATTGCCAGCGGCCAAGCCGTAGCGTGTTGTTCCGCCTGACAAAACAACCGATTTCACGTTCAGTAATTTCTTTAAACTTTCACACGAATACGTGCGCGAGCCAGCAATAAGATAACGCACGGGAGTAAGTGGAATTCGGACACGTTTGGACAACCGGCGGTTGGCAACAGGTTACACTCATTGGATTGCTTTGCCCTCCTGGCGAATTATCACGTGTGGGCTTAACGCATCAATATCACTTACGAATCGAGTCACACCGATCAATCCCTGAATAACATAGGACTGCAGCAGTTCTTTGTGTACAGCGACACCAACTGGTGACTGCTTAAACAAACAGTACATGAAGGTTCAGCCATCAGCAGGTTGATTAAATTACACCTGGACACAGATTAGCTGAAAAAAGCGCTTTCAAGCCACAAAAGGCAGTGCCCGTATTCGCGACATTAACCGTGTCACCCACTGCTATTGGCAGGTTTAGAAGTAATTTGGCACACAAAAAATCACCACCTTAACCATTGATACTGCGTTACATGTCATTGGATATCAGCACAGTAATCCTTGTGGAATAACTGGAATTGGCAGCTCTGACAGCTGTAATTTTTTGCTTTACATCAATATTTGAAAGCGTTAATACGTTAGCTGTCCGTCTGTAAATGCTCTCATGAAGGCCCTATATAAATATAGTACTTGAAAGATATGCTATTAGGGATATTCCCTACAGAAAACCTTCCAAATTTATAAAAGCAAAGCCCAAAATCCAACGCCAAAAGTACTATTTGCAAATATTCAAATACTTTTCCCCCCCAAAGGCGACCAAGCAGCATCAGTACGGCGAATACCTGGGAACGTTTGAAAGTAATACATGCTTTGTTCAGTGTTTGGTTTAAAAATAGAGTGTACTTTATTACCTGCATTTATGAATAGGACATACCTTGTTTCACCAAATAAGCAACGAGTGCCCAACTTGGTATTTTGACGTGTAAATTTTACTGCACAATTAACACAAGCATCTACTTAACGCCAAACAAGGCACAGACGAGTATTTTTTTTTATTCCAGCCAGTGTTCATGTAAGTATAAGTGATTGACGTGGTTTCAATAAAAGCAATGGATTCAGAGTTGCATACATTTATTGATGATAAATAATCTACGGACCACATCCAACCATACTTGTGAGTGCAGCATCGCAGTTTATACCGGTTCTAAGAGTGAAGTAGAGATTCAGCAGCTGGTAAATTTCAAACGTAAGCATCGATAGTCTGCAGTGAACTTGCATTTCTCTTGCGTCTTCCGTTAGGGAGTTGTGAAAAACTTTTTACATGAGGAAATACATGAAAAAGAAGTGTTTTGCAAATGTGCGGTATCTTCAGCAGTCCTACGGTTATCTATTCCGGGTATTGATGCAGCAACGGCACGTTTATGTCAGAACGTCTAGCAGGCAAAATGGTTGATGGGCATAATTGTAATGTAATACGTGCATTTCAATGCTGCTCTAACAAGAAATGTTTTGTAAATGAAGAATGCGAGCAAACACTTGTGACAAACAGGAAAATGTTGCATGTGACAGGCTCCACATTTCAGATCTGGTAAGCATTGAAGCCTTCCGAGGATGTTCTTCACTAACCATGACCTATTTACCAATAGCAGGTAATTTTACATTTGCAAGTGTTGATTTTAGGCAGCCCTTTCAAAAGCCCCATCAGACATTGCTGCCTGTACAGCATGGTCTTCAAACATGGAACACGATTTCATAAAAGTACACACATTTGCACGTGTCAAATAGCCTGGACCAAACTATGTTAATATCATGACAATATAATTAAGTCCAGATTTGAATGATATCTTCTTAAATATGCGCATGGTCAATGAAGAACTAAATCCAACGATTTGAAATTGTACAAACAGGCCACCCGTAAGTGACTATTGTTAGACTTGCTGAGGTTAAGCTACATATACAATAGTTCACAACTACTAAAGTGTGCATTTATTTCCTTGACAGTAATGTCTTGAATCACGAACACAGGAAGACAGTCCAAGGAGGTAGCTAAACTCCACTATTGGGTCGAACTGCCCAATCTCACTTTCCACGGCCATGCAACAAAAAAATAAATGAACTCCTGACACCTCTTTTGCATATTCTGACAGACTTCTGACAGTTGTCTATTATAATCTTCCAACACGAACCACATCCTCCAATTAAAATAAAACATGAAAGAATTAAACCAAAGTTGTTCGGTTGGATGTTTCTTTGATTGAGAACCAAGTAAATCTGTCCCCATTAAGAGCTATAGCAGGTCAAATTTGTCGATGGAGACATCAATACAAATCGAAAACACGAGAGCATATCCCCCAATGCCATTTAATTGCATCAACTGCTCAGTGTTCTACAGTTGTGCTCATCAGTATGGGTACTCCTTTTGCAAATTAATATATCCTGATCGTACAGCCGATTCAAGTGCAATTACCAATTTTAATTAGATGTTGCACATTCGTTAAAAGGATGCGCTGATGCTATTAAATGTTTTTACCTTTTTTTTTAATCAAAGATGGTAACCCAGGACTTGAATAAAGGGTCTCAAGAGATGCTGGCTTGCCACTCCTGAGTGGGCATTAATCTCTCCTAATCTCATTTACCGGAGATGAGATTTTAAAATCTCACAGCTGCACTAACGGCACACCACACACTCCCATAGCACGTACACTTGTTATGTAAACATAAAACTAACTTTACGTGAAAACATGACGCTGTGCGTATTTAAACCTAAACCTGTAAATAATTAATTTTAACACGAAGCACAATATTCTGGATAGTACAATACTATACATCGTGGTATTTTGAATAACTTCAACATTCAGAAATAGGCCCAATTGGGGTAATAAGGAGTAACAAACCACATGCAAAAAGTGCTGATGAAATGTATCTGCGGCACACAGATGGAGTTAAAAATGTGCCCAACTGACCTGATATTAATACGGACGTGTAACAACGTTAAAATGGAAGCTGTGCCACATTATATCATATCCTGTAAAAAACAAAGTGCACTGCGGGTACTGAAAATATGGTTGTGTACCGTATTTTTTACATTCTGTTTAGGATCGTGGTGTTTCTTTCTACTCAGCAGCCAGTTTAAACCCCAGTTCCCGCACGGGACTGTAAGGATTACTGCTCGCCGACAGACTCGAGCCACCTGGTGTAAGCAGCAGCAGAGCGAGCCTGCAGGGAGCCCGGCGACTCCGCCAGGGCCCGCGCCGCAAACGACACCTCGTCCTGCAAGCTGTACGGCCTCGGCTCGGCCTTCAGACGCTTCGAGCCCTGCCCATTGGCGCGCCCGCGAGTGTGCGAAGCGCTTGGCGACCCGCCGTTTGCCACACTGCCGCTGCCATCGCCATCCTTGGCGTTTTCACTGTGGCTGCCGGTGCCTTCGTGTTGAGTGCCCCGTGTTTTATCCGGCACCCGCGTACCGCTGGGGCTAGACGACCCACCCTTGCCGTCATTCCGGTGCCACAGATGATACAAGAACCTCCTGCAAACAAAAAATACGTAGCACATCAACAGTGGGTAAGCTACGTTCATGTCATGTAGCGTCAAAAGTCTTGAAGCTCTTGGCACGTGGAACAAAACGTCAGACGTCTTGGCGAAATACACAGTACGACCTGATAACACATCGCAGAACTACACAGTGCAACCCTTACGCAGTAGTGTAACAACCGACTTGTCTTTTACTTTAATCAATTCACGTCTACTGTGAAGAAAAAATTGCCTAGAATGAGCCGATAGTCATATTTCTATGCAGGGTTGCGCTCAAATGGGCGATCACCAAACACAATGGTGTTCACAGGGCTGGGTTATGTGGTGGACAGGAGAGGGGACTGCTGCAATAACAACCCTTGCTGTACTACACTCCACGCTTCCAAATACAGTACACACAGACAGCAGGATGGAGTATCGTCAAAAAGACCCACATAGCATGGGAAGGCCCTCATCTACCAGTAATGCACATCAATTGTGAGCGTGTAGATATTCAATAAAGGACCCTGTTCTAAGGAACTCCCTAAAGTACCTGTGAGACCACAGCGTCTCATGGCCAGGGTAAGCAAGGATGAGGTCGGTGCAGAGGTCGAATTCTCGATGGAGCAGCGTCGTCAGGGCCACCGTGTCGCTTTGTGGACCAGATTCTGCCAGGGCGGCCCCTGGGCCCTCGCCGTCCTGCTGCGCCGTCTCTGACAAGGGGCTCACACGGGTGGGGTCCGCGGCGCTGGAGGTGGCGGCGGCCAGCGAGTTCAGCAGGAACTGCCTGTAGTGAAAGCCGCTGTGATCCGAGACGTGCGTCCGTACCCAGGGCTCGGTGGCAGCGAGCTCAGCGAGCAGCACCTGCTCAGTTACAAATGGAGCAAAGTTCACAGAATATTTTTACAATGAAAATTATTGTTGCCGAGCAGAGTGATTGTTTGATAATATGCCAAGTTCTATTTGCCACAAGTGCTAAAAGTGTGCAAGAGGTGCACGGCTCCTACCTTTACACTGCAGCGAGCCACATTCTGCAGGACCCATATTCGGTGGGACCAGGCGTTGTAGTTGCTAGGGTAGCGCTCAGCGGCAGCGCGGCACACGCTCATCTCCCCCTGCACCAAGTGCCACACAGCCTCCGCTCGCGCCGCCGCACACTCATCGCCATCATCTGCAGATGCTCGTGCCCGCTCCTGAGAGTTCAGCAATCTCTGTAATACCCATCGCCTGCCGGGAGAATTGTAACAATGCAGCGTAGTGAGGCGCGGCAGCTGTCGACGCACACCGGCAGCATGCAAGAAAGGATAAGGCGGTTTGGATTGGTATTTCCAAGCAGCGGTTAAGATGCTTGAGTTTACACATCGACTGTAAACGGATATGTGCCGTCTGACGTTCACTGATCAATGTAAGCACGGCTAACCTGTGTATCCAGGTCTCCGGGCTCTTTGGGAATTTGGTGAGGGCCAGGCTGCCCAGACGAAGATCCTTCCTGGGCTCCAAGAGATTGGCGGCGATGAGTTCCTTTCTGAAAATACAGTATGTGGGGTTGAATTAGACATATGCATCACAAGGGGAGCATTACACCAAAGGCAAGGCATTACTATGGGGAAAAAATTACACGGCTGTGCCTGGAATGACTATCAAGACTGTACATGTTCAGTGCGGCTAAAAGTCCATAACATCACTCGTCTTAGCCCAATTACTAAAAAGTATTTTCCATTTCATCTTGACATTATTTAAATTCCAATATATTCCTTCCTATAAAATATTACTAACATTTTGCACCTTTTAAAACATTATGGCACACATCACAAAAATGTTTGAGTGCACATAAAACTGTGCTGTCTTACAATAAAAAGCAAATCAGTCTGAAGCTCACAATAACTGTCTATTACACATTCATTGATTGGCTATCACTGAGTGTCCTCACCGTACATTCCATGCTGTAGTGCAGTCAGGATTAAGAAGCAGCAGTGTGTGAGTCAGTTCAGCAAGGCCTACGGAGGATAAATAGGAAGATGTAAGCATCATGAGCAGCCCAACAGAGAAAATGGTGAAAACGAAACGTATATTAGAGTTGGGGGAAAATGCCTATACAAGGGAATCTGTGAGAGCCACACTCCGCAACTCCGATGAGCACGGTTGGCTATATACGGTGCAAAAGAAGTTCAACATACATACATTCACCGAGGCAAATCCAGCTGTTTGCAATTGCTCAACAAAAACGGCTTACAACAGCATATGGAAATCAATAACATCAGTGAAAAGCTCCACGGCTGAGCATGGGAAATGCTGCTCACCGTCTTGATCTGGCCAAATCTTGCGCTGACGGAAGTGCACAAGTTGCACGTGCACGTGGGGCACCAAGAGCTTAATGCACCAGCTCTCCAGTCCCAGCTTGCTGTCCACCAGCACGACGGGGCTGCGGTTGTAGCGAGCCTCCGAAACGGGGATCACGCCAATCTCATCACTGGAGTGGCGGTGGTGGCGTCGGAGAAAAATACGAGGAATCACACACAAGCACAGAAAGGGCGGTGAAACATATTTCATGTTGGGAATGCTCCATATCAGAATGTCACATGCAGGCACCCCTACACATGTTTTAGTGTTGTAAACTGTGCTGTTAGTGAGCACCTATTAAGGCTAGCAAATGTTTTACCAGTCCGATGTTACCACGCTGCCTCGGCTACGAGACATGTAAATATTTATCTGTAAAAAAATGTTCATAAGCCTAAAATAAAAGAATCAAATTGCGGGTGTAATAATCTATTATTTATAATGTATACTACCTGTTTGAAAATGTAACTTTTAGGATAATGGAAGGAATGATAAAATAAAAACATGCCAAAACATTCCTTAATTTTTATCATCACATGCAGACATGTAATAGACATGTTACTTTAAATATAAATGGAGAATTTAGAAACCCTGCTTTGCAAGTGTCCACAATTCCCACAAATGAACGTGTTATCAACACCCACCCTTGATTGACAATTGCAATATACAACTAATTCGTCCCTTACTGACTCAAGTATATTCAATAAAAATAAATACCACCTCTGACACAACCATGGACCAAATTTGCTGAATCAGAAATTACTAGCAACGGCTAATTAGCAAAAACGATTTTCCCTGTGGGGATTGACATCCCTGTAAACAAGATATACGCATCTCAGCAGGTCTATAAAACTCAAAACATGCGTTAAATCACGTAATGCCTCTTAGTTCTTACAAATTATGGGGTTGTTTATCGAAAATATTTTTTAAACATACGTAGAGTTTACAACACTGGATGACATCTTTGAGCAGTTGTGCCTTCTACATAACATGTAGATGCAGTGTTTAAAATAAAAACTCCATGGCATATGACCTAAATGACATGGGCAATGGCAACACAATCGGCTACTGATGCGCTATTCATTTAAGCCCTAACACATCACGTGACATGGCCAAAATTACATTTACGGTAGCGAGTGTAAGCACAGTGCGATTATTTCCGAGTCGAGAAAAAACTACTTGGCGGCACCAATGTGTTTACTTGTAAAATAAGAATAAATGTTTAACCACAAAACCCACGGATATGAACGGTTTTCTGTAATGCTTCTCAAAATGCGTTTGTCGAGAATACCAAGCAACAGCTCTGCAGAAACCTTTGATCAATTGAACCGGATTTCTCTAAGTCCCTACCCAATATGTCACTCTTACTAATGAGCCTTTGTCTCCTTAATTCTCACCTGGTTAAACAATTAACGTGAACCTAAATTTTAAATGACATGACACGGGCCCATTTAGAGGGTCGCGTGCCCCCACATTAGGCGAGAAGTTCGTGCATTCACCCATCCGACCTGAGTAAGACAGCGTTGGCAGTGTTAACTATACAACCATTTCAAGTTGTAATGTTAAATTTTAGTCCTACTCGAGCCGGAGGGCCTACACCTGCGATGGAATTCCACGTTCTCATGGCAGGCCCAATTTATAATGAAATCTGCTGGATTAAGGCTTTCCCCTTTGCTACGCTGTCGCGAATCGCTCTTCGGTCTCGTTATCACATTTCCACGGTGGGCGACCTCTCTATTGACCGCAAATCCGTCACCAGTCTCAGGCCCATCTAACTGCGGAAAAGAGCTTCACGGCTCATCGGATTCCTCCGGCATAAATATTCTCATATTCGCGGACAAGACGTTTCCCCCCCTCATCCACGCTGCGACAATGCAAAGTCAGACGCAGCATCGCAGCACAGAATACACGTACGAATGAAACCAGACACAAGGCGAGTTACGTAACAATAACATAATTAAAACAAAGATTAAAAATAACTGTGGACACGACCCAAGGAGATGAGGCGCCCACGCCTAAGAACGTCGATTCCACTCCTCGCGATTGCCCCACGAAATAGGAATCGATTTTTTTACACAACATTGCATTCGAAATAAACGCACAATCCACGGTGGTTAAACGCTCTTCACGTACTGCGCCAACCACAATTACCACAGCCCAACATACACGAAGCGACAAAACTCTTATCGAAACACGAACCAAGCAACGTAAAAAAGGAGTCGTACGAATCGATTCTCGTCGGCTTAACAACTACCCGATCACAGGGAATCGATACAAACCCAGACCCTATCATCACAAACACCACTAACGACCCCACCACGCGACATCAACAGCGACCGCGCGCGCGATTAAGAGTGGGGGGGGGGAGGCGCGGGCGAGAGGCGCACATGGCCGGGTTCTTGCGGAAAGCGTTGCCGATGTCTTTGAGGATTCTCCGCACCAAGTCGCGCGCCTCCGCCTCCTCCTCCGCCCCCGCCATCTTCACAGGCCGCTCGTGAAGCGAACCGCCGGGCCGTGACGTCACCGCAAGTGGGCGGGGAGGGGGCGGGGATGGGCGTGGTCTCGTCAAAATATAGGCGGGGCCCCTTCGTCCGAGTGGGCGGGGATTATGTAGAGTGGGCCGGGGGGGGACTCTTCGGCGAAGTGAGCGGGGGCACAAGGATAGTGGGCGGGGCCCAAGCAGAGTAGGCGTGGTCTCATATGAGTGGGCGGGGTCTCAATGAAGTAATATTTTGTGAGTGAATCAGAATATGTATTTACTTTATGTTTAAGTGATGTTTTTTTACCTTTCATATACTCCTAAACGTGTTTTCAATATGAATCCCTGCAGTCACGAAAGCTTTAAATAAAAATTTGTTTTCGTATTGTTTGTCGTTGTAACGTTCTGACCCCGTGCGCCTACTGGACGTCTGTGAAAAATATCTTTATAGCTCATCGGATTTCTCCAGTTATAAAAATATACATTTATGTACATTTTTCAATTCTGACTTGTTTAAACATGAAGGAGGGCGATACCAGCAGTACCACTCACTCGAGCTCTTGACGCCGCTGGTGACGTCTCCGCTGTGGGCGGGGGTGGGGGCGTGGTGGTGGAGGGGGGGGGTGACATGACGTCATCGCCAGCAGCGGCACGTGGCATCATCAGCGCGCGACGTGAACGCGCGCCAAAATTTTACCGGCAGCATCAGAAGCAGTCGTACGCAGCACCGCCCTGTCTCATCATCATCATCAGCACTGCCCTGTCTCATCATCATCAGCACTCTGTCTCATCATCATCAGCACTCTGTCTCATCAGCACTGCCCTGTCTCATCATCAGCACTGCTATGTATCATCAGCGGCACGCGCCAATCAATCATAAGTACTGATCTATAATAATAATCAGCAACACGCGCTGTAATACGACGCAAGCAGACTGCGAGTACATCACCGATCAGCGCTCATGCCGCGATCAGCATGTCACTCATCATCAGCACGCCGCAATCAATGATGGGCACGCGCCAATGAACAAGAGAACCATCATCATCATCAGCTGTCCGTGACCTCGCCAGCAGCTGGAGTTGGGATCCCCGCGCCTTCTCGGCCAGACACGGCCATGCCAAAGTACGCTGCCGGGTTAAAAGCGCTGAGTTTGTATTGAGCAAGGGGTGTTGTTGTTTTTCACATCTGTAGTGCCAGCAAACCACCGGCCCACGCACTCCTGCCTCGCATACCCTGTCAACCCATACCCTGTCACCCCATACCCTGTCACCCCATACCCTGTCACCCCATACCCTGTCAACCCATACCCTGTCACCCCATACCCTGTCAACCCATACCCTGTCAACCCATACCCTGTCACCCCATACCCTGTCACCCCATACCCTGTCAACCCATACCCTGTCAACCCATACCCTGTCAACCCATACCCTGTCAACCCATACCCTGTCACCCCATACCCTGTCAACCCATACCCTGTCACCCCATACCCTGTCAACCCATACCCCATACCCTGTCAACCCATACCCCATACCCTGTCAACCCATACCCTGTCGACCCATACCGTTTACCCCGTATTGTGCAGGGAAATTGAGTTTTCAGGTCCATACGGCACGTACAGCCGTTTCAATACGAGCAAAAACTTTTTTTTGGTCTCGATTTGTTTGTGTTTCTGCCTTGTGATGGGACTTTGTAGTAGGGATGAACGTTGAGATTTATAAGGGGCACGGGGTGACCAGTAAGGTCTGAATTGGTCTGTAATAAGGTAGGGGCACTGATAAGGTGTTGACAGGTATGGGATGGCAGTGACACAAACGGTGTCATCGTAGTCCATAACAAAGGGGGGCGGCGGGGGGGGGGGTTAGATCGCGTAAATATAAATCTGTCGTCAACGACAAAAAAATAACCCCTTTATTACGGATAATGCTGGTCGTGAAAGCCTACGTGTTAAACTGAGGATTGTCATTGGGCTTCTGGGCCACGTTATGAGCGGCGAAACAAATGCCATTGCTGCGCTTTACTTCGAAGCTTCTTGGATGCGCTTGGGTTATTCATTCTGCAGTCACCGTGGTGAAGTATGGTCGAATAGCCCCCCCCCTTCTCCTATGACTCGCACGTCGTTAAGAAAACCCCTTTACGAATGACAACAACGCTGCTAGATGGGTTTTGGGGCGTCACGGTGGTGAGATGTTAACGACCACGCCAGGTATACAGGAGGTCTTGGGCTCGATCCCGACCCTGATGCCTGCTGTATATTTCGAGTTTGCATGTCTCTCTCCCCGTGGTTGCGTGGAATTTTCTCCGGGTCCTTCTGTTTTTCCCTCCTCATTTAGAAATATGCGTTTAGAGTATTTGGCTTCTCTAAATGTCCACGAAATAAGCCACTTGGTTGAGCTGTCACTCGTGGCCAGGTCGCTTCTGAAAAAGAGCTTTACAGCATAGCTCAGTGAGCCTTGCCTGGTAAAATAAAAATAGTTTTTAGTTCAGTTACTAGTTTGAACACACTTGATACCGTTAGAATTCTCCTTTACACGTGGTATGCTTTTTACAGAATAACATGCATACATATATGTGATCTAAACAGCATGCACCTTTAGCCATTGGGTGAACAAGGGAGTCGACTCGGCACTCTTTAGACGTAATAAAGTCAATACATTCTAGTACTGTCAATAGATTTTTGGGCCAGGATTTTCATCCGGTTAAAAGGGATGTAAGGATTTCCCTGCTGCCTTATTTTACATGTAAAAGTGCCTTATTTTACATGTAAAAGTTTAGTGTATACTGTATACACAGTCTTCCGTTGACACACTGGTCTACTATACTGCAATCTGGAGATAATCTGGATAAAGCAATGCATATAAGGAGATTATGCTCATATGGATGTACAGGTGGCTTAATTCACTAAATTGCTATTGTACCATCTGACCACCTCGCAGCCCTGTGGGTTTGTGACGAGTACATAAGAAAAAACGTGCAATCTAGTGGCGATTGCACAGATTGACCTTGCTGTAATTGCTGATGTCGCTCAGCAGAGGCAAGAAGCGCAAAGCCGCTGGAACTTCGTCACAGGCTGGATCCATACTCGCCTTCTTCCGACCCCGCTCGCCTCCCAAGCAGTTGTGCCAGGCCTTGGGTTCTGAACAAAGCCCCAACAGCGGGGGAAACGGTGGGGAAAGCACTGGACAGGTGACCAAGCGAGCCAGGAATGATAACCATGCTGTGGCAAGGTCGCCGAATCACCCAAGACATGAGGATGATGAGTTACAGGATCCGAATTTGGAGTCCTGCAGATTTGAGACGCACAAGAAGCCTGGAACCGCAGAACGAGGCAATGGCAGCGTGCAGGAAACACCCACGGTGCCACTTGCTGCCAAGCCACACATGAGTCCATACTTCAAGCGGACGGAGGCTGGGCACGAGAGAGAAGAGAGCCAAGGAGCTGCCCATAGGAGGAATCTGTCCTCCAAGCTGTCTCGGACATTCCTGAGAAGTGGAAGCTCGTCGAAAATAGGTGTTTGTATAAGGCTGTTTGACGGTGATGGAGATGTTGATGCTGGCAAATGGACGGGAGAGACTGAGGTGGAGCCTGGAGGTCAGCCCAGTGGATCACAGAAAGAAAACGTGAAGGTGACAGTTTCATGCCATAGGGAGCAATCCCTGGGATCTGGAAAAAAAAGTGACCCCGAAGATGCCTGCATTGACTTGACGGCATCGGACCGTGAATGCAAAAGACTGAAGCAGTCGTCCAAACTGAGACGTAGTACAAGGAAGACGATCAATTACTTCAAAGAAACACTGCCTCCTAAGGGTAAAGAAGTGACTGCTCGTGGCTCGCTAGCTATTATACCTGGAAAAGATGCGTCCGAGCCCGACGAGCTTAGGGAGCCACTGCAAAATTCAGAGACAAAACAAGTAAGTGGGAGAGAAGAGGCAGGCTCGGCAGCCAAGATTATGCAAGTGACAAATAACAAGGGCATCGCTGATGATTGCAAATTAGAACGCGCACCCTCTTTGAGGAAGCGGCCTTCGGCAACAGCTCCTTTGGGTACGGAGGCATCGCGAGTGTCTCGTGAAAGCGGGCCCGGCGTCACAAACTTGCCCAAGGACACCAATGGCAATAAAGCAAATCGGACATCGAATGAACGTCGATCTCGGCCGTCCGCTGAGAAGGCAGCCCACACGTGGGGAGAGGAGGAGCCTGAGGAGGGCGAGCTGGGTGAGGATGACAGCGAGGACGACGGTGTGTCTGCAGACGTGGGGGATGGGCGCCCCGATTTATACCTCGAGAACTTCCTGACGGTGCTCCGCACCGTGATGAGACACGAACACGACCGGGTGCTCTTCAACAACGAAGACATGGCCATCATCGGCAAATTCCATTCCCTCTCAGGTGTCGTAGCGCCCTGCGTCATACGCGACGTTGATCGTTTTCTTGGGTAAATCTCGGGAAATATTTTAAATAATGTGATTGGGTGCTTCCGCAAGATTGTTATTGCAGCTTCGTGATTGTGCTATATGGTACAGTTTGTAACAACCTAGTTCTTTAAGGCTATACGGGGGATCTTTGTTGTTGCAGAAGCTGCCCAGACGTTGTACGTGCGTCTGTTCCAGAGGAAGGTGCGCTGGCTGCCCACGGTTACACTGAAGTACACGCGCATCGCGGCCGACCTTACGGCTGCCCTGGACGAGCTGATAAGCTCGGAGCTCCTGCAGTCCGGTCAGTGTCCTGCAAACCAGGATCCTGCGTCCAGACCACACATGACCGAGCCATGTGGCATTCAGATTAATTCATAGAGAATGCAGTGTGCTTCATAATAATAGTTGACAAGACTTAAGTACAAATTGTACTGCATCATTCTAATTGCGGCAAGGCTATGGTGAGGGCGCTGTGTTTCACAGATGTATAATCTGCCAGTAGGTAGTAATGTTGCAATGTGGTTATACCCAAATAAGTAATTTGTGAGTATTTTTTTCTAAAATGGACCATGACGCTGGCACACGTGGCCTACTCTTAAATGGATTGTTGCATTGCATGGCAATTTGGGTTAGCAACAACTTAGGGAGGTTTACATCTAGAAGTGGGTAGATCATGGCTAATAATGATGATTCTGCCGCTAGGCAATCATTGGTGCAATAATAATTCATGACTGAGCACCGAAATTAATTGTTATTTTTTTATCCTGTTTGACAGAATCTGAGCTGACGGACGTAAGTGAAGCTCTGTCCGTGCTGCCGGCACCTGAGTTGAGGTTGGTGGCGCGGTCCTTTCACGTTCCCGTCGCCGGTGGCGTCCACAGACAGCAGCTGGTGGAGGCATTAGCACGACTCGCACACCAGCGCTCCGTCCTCAGCCTCATGGGTGCACGTGGCACGGACGCCAACCCGGCCGTTCTGCGCAGGTTCCTGCCCCAACAACGGCTCACCACTCTAACATTTTACAACGGACCCGTGCCGGGGCTGTGCTGAGCCAGATTGGCACGGTTCGGGAGGTGCCAGGTTGTTTTGCTACAGCAGAAGCCGAACCGTGCCGCTGATGTCACACGCAAAAGAAAAGGAGTCGAGTCACATGTGTAGATTCCGTACTGATTGACATCACACGCACTGAATGTGTCATTAGCCTCGTCCCAGGCCCTCCTTGCCCCCAAAACAGATCCAATCACACACCTTCCTTTAAAAAATATGAACTCCTCCATTTCACCCACATGTGCACGCTTGTTCTACTTGTTGTGCAGCGCCTTGAGATGCAGTTGCATTTAGACGATTGCACAAAACCCAAACTGTGATTGTTTTTGGGCGAGCGAGCGTCGTTCTCACGCGTTGCGTGCCTTGTGTGCGATCGCCAGGGCCCGCGAGCGGCTGGGCTGCTGTGTGCGTGTGCGCCGGGCCCTGCGGGCCGTGTTCTCGCGCGCGATGCTCCTCTTCTCGCCGGCCGAGTCCCCGGACGAGGAAGACGCGGCGAGTGGCGGCCAGGGCTCGCTTCTCACCGTGCTCATGGTCGGCATGGCGCGTCTGCGCTTCCCGGCGTACACCGTGCGCCGCCAGACCCACATCTTCCCCAGCCGCGACGCCCTCCTCAGGTACGGCTCGGTCATAGTCGGTCAATGTATTATTATTGCTATGCTAAACACCACAAAATCTCGAGCGTTAAAACAAAACAAAGGGGATTTGATTTTTGATTCAAAGCTTTCGTGACTGCAGGGATTCATATTCTTGGTTCTTTCGGTAAAGTCACGTAGAAGGGAAACAAAATAAAAATGATTTAAAGCTTTCGTGACTGCAGGGATTCATATTCTTTGTTCTTTAAAATAATAAATTATATTTTTATTATTTTATTGTTTCCCTTCTACGCGACTTTACCGAAAGAACCAAGAATAAAGGGGATTTGGTTATTGAATGGAATTATGGTGTCTTGTTTAATCAGAGATCAGTTGTTGACCGTGCAGTAGCTTTAAGATCGAGCAGAAGGAAGCCATAACGAGGCATGGTAGTGTTAATGGCATTGATTAAGAAAATGGCATTGATTATGGTAATCAATGCCATTTTCTTAAAGGCCTTTTCTCCTGATTAATTTGTTACGTGAGCCTGTGTGCTTATATTAGGTTTTAGAATTGCGTGAGTTACTTGCTTTTAGTGCTGTGCATCGCCTTGCGACCTCTGCGTGAAACGCGCTTTTTACGTGTAAGTTATTATTAATTGCAATGATCACCAATCCACTGTGAAAGCAGATTAGTGTGATCAGCAGGCCGAGTATGCAGGCTGCATTATTAGAGGCTCGTCCTGGAAAAACTTGATCATTTACATTAAATACCCCGAACCAGCCTCATTGGCAGAATTTACAATCTCCCTTCGATGGAGCCTCATTTTTATTTTATCATCTTCACAAATCTGGCTGTAAAATTAACTTTTTGCATCCACTTAACCTGCCTACTCTGAACAAAGCCTAGTTTTCAGACAATGGGATTTTGTGGGTCATCAAGTTTTTAAGCACACCCCTCATTTGTCTGGGAATAAAGGGTGACCACCATGCTTATAACAGGTGGCCATAGAGCTGCAGGATTATGTGGTGGGCAGTAGAGAGCAGAGGAGAGTGCAATATTTATTGTTTTATATTTATGTGGTCCCACATTTTCTGTCTGCCTTTGCCAACCTGCACTAACCAGTGTAGAAGCGATCAAATGATCCCCACGACGCGCACGATGTGGGGAGGCCCTCAAGTAAAGCCATGCCAGTCTGCCTGTGGCTCCATTGCCCTTGCTGCATCAGAACCTATCACACGTGCTGCCGCTCTTTCTCTCTTATGTGGCCGTTGCCCCTGGTCACAGGTATGAGGCCGCCTCGCATAGCCTCAGTGAGATGGATCAAGCGATGAGCAGCAACAAACTGGAGGATGCGTGCAGCCTGTACCGCACCGCCCGTGCCATCTGGGACGAGATGAAACGGAGCTTGGATTTCAGGTAGGGTGCCAATGCCAGCCGACTGGCAGCTGAGTTTTGCCCGCGGGGATGAGCAACTGCCAGATCCCCGGTTCACAAACGTATATCCAAATCATCATCACGTCTAATTCGCCCTCCACTGAACAATGCTCTTAAAAACTACTCTTTAGGGATAGACGTTGCGAGTGCTGCTTACCCTATTTTCACCACCAGTGAGTCACTGGGTTACGATTCCAGATCTTGATTAAAATTATTAACTGATTGTTTTTTGTCTCATGTATTTTATATTTAAAAAAAATTGTTGTCACGTTCGTACACTTTTGTGTGGTCTATTAACCTCAATATTATCATCATCATCCATGGTCAATCAACTTCGAGATGAAATCCTCCCCAAGCCACCACTGTTGTCTAAATATAGCAAGAAAATTCCCATTCAATTTTGTATAAATCGTCAGTAATTGATTCTCCCTCGCGTGATTCGGTCCACATATCATTCGTGATATAATCAATAATATTCGATGCATTGTTGCTGATATCGCAGTGATATTCTCTGTCAAATGGTTTTCATGTCTTTGCGAACTACTGCATCTCTTGCAAGAGCTGTAATTTGGAACTGGTTTTATGTTTCCCCCATGTAAATGTGTCCCCTGCACAAAACACAACCGCCAAAGTTAATACGCGGCTTCTCTTTCGGGAGCCGTTTAATCGGCTCCCCTGATTTCCATTTTGCGTTCGCTTAGACGCTTGTTCTCATTTCTGTGGGCGGCAGTCACGAGGAGGCGCTGCCCTTGCACCTGCGCTGCATGTCGGCCGGCTGGGCCTACACACGCATGATGTCACGTGGGGTGGAGATCCTGCAGCGACTGCAGCTCTACCCGGTGTGTGTGTGTGTATGTGAACCCCACCGTCTCCCCAGAGGTCCCACTGAGGCGGCAGCCACAGCACCCTCCCTTAACACTGCAACAGGGATGGGCCGGACACTACCCACAACAGCTTCATTTCATACAGCCCCAAGCCACATCAGGCAAAGTGCTTGACCCGAAAATTATATATTTCAATCACTAATTGAGTACTGGTGATATGATCAGGCAAACCAGGGTGCGCCGGGTGGGATGTGAGCAGGATGGAGGAAGGCTGGTTATTGAGACAGGCATTGGAATCGTCTCCACGAGTCCGGCGACAAAGGAGAAGACCTAAGAACAGATCGTGGGCTGCTGTCGGGGGAGATCTTGGAGGTGCATATCTCGTGTTGTAGCATCTGCGCCATCTGGCAAAGGGTAGAGAGCATTGGCAAGGTTTGGTGGCACCAACGGCTTTGGCCATGATAATATCTTGAACTTGAATCGAATACGAGAGAGGAATATATTTGACTGAGCAACACTGTTTTAAATGTTGCACTCTCAGTCACTACTGTTTTTGCAAAGGGCCTCTTTATGCTCAGGTGGCATGCTTATTATTTTTTGTGATAACTGGATAATGCTGAGGTGTGTGTGTTAGTGTGTGACCTGCTAAAAACGGATAAAAAAATCCTATTCAGCCCCCCAGGAATTGAAAGGCCCTCCACCCCTACTCTAAAACGTTGTCATTTGTTTCCATGAACGCTGGTACACAGACAAAAATCACAGCTTACCACGAGGTCACACAGCCCATGGGAAATTATTACTGTAAATGAGAAACAGCATTTGAACCAAGATGAAGACAGGTGTAAGCCAATAACCAAATAACTTTGAATGTGCCCGACATGATCAGGATGAGGCCTGGGCAGTGCTTAGGTGGGTGACCAACATACATAAACAGATGGTCTATTGCAACTATGAGTGCCAAATAGCATCATTGGTGGTTTAAGCAAGAACAGCAATGGTAATCAAGATTTTGGGAAACAGTATCTTTATTATCTCTTTCCCCGGCTGCTATTAGCAGGGAGGCATTACAATGAAGATCTCTCCGTCTCTCTGGATTTTGCAGGGAGCACGTTTGACAGACATAAAACAAATAAATCCTGCGGTGCTGCATGCATGCTAACAGGAGGCGGTAGAGCAGCTGCACTCGCTGTTGTCGCAGCAGACGTACTGCATTCAGCGCCGTGGATCCTGGTGGGACCGCCTGGCACTGAACCTGCAGCACCACCTCAAAGACACGCCAAAAGTACGTAAGCGTCACCTCGCCAGGGATGCTCGATGTTCGTCTGGCTCAATATCATTTGTCGGTCACACTATGCAACCTGTTTGAGGTCGTCTCCCCTGCAGATTCGTATTGAATATGCATGCGCCAAGTTCTTGAATTTAATTATGATTCTCACTCTGTGATGCATCCATCAAATTGTGCAGCTAAGAATCCATGACTATGAAAATTATTTGTGTAGTTTCCATTTTTGCCAATGGGAGAAATGAGCAATAGTGAGACAGCTGTGATAAACAATATAGCGATAACTTGACTTTTACTCTTTGGTTCTATTGGGTAAAGTCACGTAGGTGAAAATAAAATAACAAAAAATCACGACGTTTCGGCCACAACACAAGCGGCCTTCATCAGGTGAAGGGACGAGCCTGTCTGGAGGACAGCGCTGGAGCGCTATAGAACCAAAGAGTATGGATCCTAGCAGTCACGAAAGCTTTAAATCTAGAACTTGACTTTTTTCCACTTGACTTTCGTCACTTCGCTCTTTCGGCCGTTTTCAATTAAAACCATATTTCAAATGTCGTCCACGCGGCTTTCCTCTTGCGTCCGATTGCATCCCAAACCTTCCACGACGTTCGTGCCACGCGCCGTCTTTTCCATTCAGTCTTTGAATAGAAGTCGTTCAGTGAGCATCTCTTATATTTGTCTTTATTAATATATTATTACTATTGTACTTATTTCCGTGATTATACTGTAAACAATTCACAGTTATTTTTGTGAAAACAGTATAATGCTGCAGTGTCCTTAGTTATTTTCGTGATTATAAAACACGTGTACAGTATTCATACTCTGCACTTATTTTTGTGATTACTGTAAAATACTTATTTTTGTGCTTTCATATGTTGCAAGAAAAGCTTGACATAATCACACTTAACGAGCAAGGCTAAATAAAGGCTCTGCTTTAGCATTCGTCCATTTTTGACATTCGTCCATGCTCTGGTCCCTAACCAGACGAAAGTGCAAGGTATCCCTGTTGAAACATGAAAAAAAAAGATATAATATGAATATAATAAAACAATACAATTGTGTACCCCTCATGACAATTTAATCTTGGGAAATTAATCATCACCATAATAATCATCAATCTCAAGGCACTAAAAGAGTTTTGACTTTAAAACCCCATGCATGGCAAACACACAAATCCAAAAGCACATCATCACAATCGGCATCAGCTATAAATACGTCCTGCATTGGAAGCATTCCCTTGATAAGTTATCACCTTCGTATGGAACTGCCCTGCAATGTTTGTGTAAATCACAAACACAAAAACAACACACCCTGCAAGTCAGCACTCCGCACACTCTCGTCTCAGATTTCATTAACCACCTGCAGGCTGCACTTCAATAAATGTAAGGGTATAATAGCGCTTGGTTGCGGAATGTAAGAGTGGTAATTTAAAAAAAAATTGCTTAGCAATTCCACACAGGGTAGTTGGGTGTATTGTTACCTCTAGGCAAACTTGACAGTACAAATATAAATTATGCCCAAATGTTACGTGGTGGTGGTTGCCCAGAATCCAATTCATTTTCTGCTTGTTTTACACGCTGTAGTTTTCTTTAACATGATTTCTTTAATACAAATACAATTTTTTTCCCCGCTGGGCTCTTAGTTATAAAGGTTTCTATTTACACACTCTGCACAGGAAGTGAATATCAAAGTGTTGAGTCGCGAAATGGCACAGACGCCTTGGTATTGGGACATTACACATCGGGTGTATTTTAAATACAATTTAATTTGGAAATCTAACGAATCAGCACTTTGTTGATTCAATGTATTGCTACAATCAAAGTAGAGCTGATGTAAATAAAAATGTGCATGTGGAGGTTTTGAATGCTGCTGAATCCAATGTGATAGCATACTTAACAAAAATAATAGCATTTACGAAACAATTTCTAATTTTGGACAACCCAGTTTTTTGGGAGTGGTTTTTAACCTTTTCATTTTAAAATATAATCCTGTGAATGTTTGCAACTTAAGAGCCTTCTGCTGAAGCCAATAAAAAGCAAAGCCCACTTTCAGTTACAGTGTTTAACATAACCTACGTATAAATTTACCAAATCACCTGGAATATGCTCGATGTCATGAGATCTTGGAAGCCAAGCAGGATCACACCTGAATAGTGCTTGGATGGATAACTACCCTGGATAGACCAGGTGGTCATGGGGTTTGTGGAGCTCCAACGATGGGCAATAGAGGTTAGTGCACCAAAATGTACTGCTCTACTCAGGGACTCTACTTACGAACATTCGACTTACAAACTTTCAGAGATAAGAACAAACTGTCCGTATGTCCAGTTGCTTGTTCGGACCGAGAGTCGTAAGTTTAACCACCGCGCAATAGATGGTGGTGGTGGCATCTATATCTGCAGGACATGAACCAATGGCATATATAGCCAATTATACAACTTTTAAAGCCATTCCCCATGTTTAGTGTACATGCCATACAGACCTCTGGATCCTAACTCGTTCATAAGTTAAGGTTATGTTTTTTCACATCTGTGCTCCCTGCCTTCACCAACGTGCACTGATCAAGACGTGGTTAAATAACCATCACTAAACGCACATGCCTGAGGATGTCCTCATTGAGCAGTTTATTGATGAAAGGGCTGTACACATTTATAAAATGGTCCTTACCAACAGAGACGAGCAATGCTCCTCGCTCCGGTGAGCAGGTAGACAATAACTGACGCATAATGCAAATAACTAATTTGCCTGTAACGGAGCTTTTTCTGCAAAAAAGAAACATTTATTAGTAGCACTGGACAAAATATATAAGTAACATTTTGGGCAATGGCCCCACTTCACATCAGAGATATGCTTGTGCACCACTGCTAATGGAATATCACAATTTTTCTGAAATTTTCCCCAAACCATGCTGTTGGCACAAGCGCCTCTGCTGCGCCACCGCACTCATACATGAGCCCTTCTGCCCCGTCCCGTCTGTCGCACGCAGGCCATTGAGGCCATCCGGCGGGGGCTGACGGACCCGTACGTGCGCACGGGACAGAGGCTCGCGCTGCACCAGCGCGCCGTGCGTATTCGCGAATCCCCGAGCTGCAAGGCTCTGCGCCACCTACTGCGGGACCTTCCCACCGTCGAGTACGACGAGGCGCCCAAAGTGAGGACGCGCTTGCAGCGCCACCGTGTTGCCGCACTCCGCAAGTTGGCTCCCTTGGCATGGCACCAGAGTGGTAGTTGTTGTTTTGCTGGTGTTGTATTGTCGAGCAGTAAAAGAGATGATTTCTCATTCGTTCAATCATATCTATAGAATTGTATCTCGCTTGGACATTCGCTGACCCAAGCTTGAGGCGTGTGACTCGCAGAGCAATTAACACGACGGCCCTGTGCCTCTTGATTCTTCGCTCCGTGGCAGGTGACGATCCGTGGCAAGGCCTGTCCCCAGACGGGCATGGGCAAGTCGGTGTTCTTGCGGGAGGAAGAGGAAGAAGCCATGGAGGTGGAGGCTGCGGGTGGGAGCAGAGACGGAGTGGGCACCACCACCACCACCACCATGGTCATGTGCTCTGTGGAGGAACTGGCCCTCGCCCACTACCGCTCACAGGACTTTGATCAAGGTGTGAACTTGCGCTCATGATAAGCAGTGCAACAAAGCTATTCTCCATGGAGACCCACCGAGTGTTTGGCGATTGTATCCATTTCTATAAATGGACACCCAACGAGTTCCATTTCTCTCAATGGAGACAACGAGTGTAGGGTCGGTGTGTCCACTTTTCTCAATGGAGACCTAACGAGCGTTGCGTGTGTGTGGTGTGTGTGTGGAACAGGGCTGCACGGCGAGGGTGCCACGTTCTGCACACTGTTTGGCCTGCTGCTGTGGGACGTCATTTTCTCGGACACTGTCCCTGACGTATTCCTCAACCCCTACCAGGTGTGAGCATCAAAGTCGAAGTAGCACATTGCACAAATATCCATCAAGGTGGAAAATGCAGCAGAGTATGTGTGCACCTGGGACAGTTATTAAAAGGACTGGCATCAAAATGATGAAATTAAGAGGCAGATGAAAAAACGTTGGTCTGCTTTTGGAAAGTTTAACTTGATCATGAAACACATATCAATGTGCCTAAAGAAGAGAGTTTTTAATTGGCGGGTATTACCGTCTAGTGATATGGATCAGATATATGGGCATCCAATGCTTTTATTTTACAAAAACTGAAAAGTGGGAGACATGGATTAAAAAACACATGCAAGTTTAGGACATAATTGACTGTAAGGAAGTGGGCTTGGGCAGGACACGCCACTAGAAGGGCTGATGGCCGCTGGAAAAGATGAGTGAGGAAGTAGCAGCTAAGAGAATGTGCTGGAGAGGATATGCAGCCATGAAGTCAGCTCATGTGGATACCCGGTGAATTGTTAAATCACAGGACTGTGAAAACCAACAACCGCTTGGGGAGGCCTTCATCCAGAAATGGATTGATCTTAACCATGGCTGATGATGACCCTCCAATAATAAAAAATGTAATGTGTAATTTCCGTGATGTCACCACTTGTTTTTTTTACAGCAAAGAGCAGTGTTGAATCGGTGGGGCCAAATGGGAATTTTAGCTAATGGGATCATGTGTTCTCAAGGCCATTATGAACAAGTATATAACGCTACCAGAATATAATAATAGGGTTTGTCCCCTTTTTTTTGGCGACAAAACTGAAACCTTTTGCAAGGAATCATGTTTACATTAACCACAATACTTGCAGTCAGAATGCAAACAAAAAAAACAACACTCTGATAATGTATGCATTGTCCTTGAAACTGATTGGTCCACACCAGACAGCTTTCCTTAGAGCCGAGTCTCATACGGTGTTCGACCAGATGACGCCAAAAGGCGCACAGTTCAAAGACAACGCACTATCAGAGTAATGAGGGCTCGGGGTAAGCATCTACATCATGAGGCCTCCTTTGCCAGTACTAGAATATAATACATTTCGATTTAAAGCTTTCGTGACTGCAATGATTCATCTTCAATATAATAATAGGGTTTTTCCCCTTTTTTTGGTGAGAAAACTGAAACCTTTTGCAAGGAATCATGTTTACATTACATGATGTGAACGCTACCAGAAGCCTACTGAGGTGGAGGTGGGTGGCGATTGATGACCATGTCATCACTCATCGTTACTACGTCATGCTCGCTAGTTTACCACATTTTGGATGCCCAGCGTTTACTCTTTCAGAATAGCTGCCGATTAATCGGTTTGGAAAAATAATTTATTTTCCGTAAAGTATTATTAATATACTAAACTTATTTCCTGAAGCACTCGGTGCTCTGGGCTGGTAAAGCCCCATGTGGATAAGAGAACTCACCGTAAGTCTCCTTCTGCGCGGCGGCGGAAAAGGGCTTCCCACTGGACTTGTACACGGACGGCTTTTACGAGAACCGGCGCGAGCTGCTGGACGAGCGGCTGGCACAGCTACGCGGGGCGACGGGCGCAGAGCTGCAGGAGATCGTGGTGGCGGCGTGGACGGCCCACGAGGGAGAGGCGTGCGGCCTCGTTTCGTGGGAGCGCCTCATGACCCTCAGCCAGGCCACGGTAACGCGTCGTGAGCAGCCCCCCCCCCCCCCATGGAGGGCCTCTCGTGCGCTCAAGCCCATTGCACGATGGCTTCACAGCTGTGCAATAGTACGCCACCAGCGAAGGCGTACAATCACCTCTCGGTTGTCTGGGCTAATGGGAGGTGGGATAGCCCGGATAAAATGAAAATGCAGATAATGCAAAACATGTAAATTAGGCTGTAGAAACGTATTGTTTATATACGTAGAATCGATTTATTTTCCAAGTTTACAGTAATGTAGGGACTATTACTGAACCTCCACGAGCAAGGAGCAGCGAATATTAGAACCATCGTACGCTTCATCTGCAAACATGACAATCTGGCCACGGGTAATTGACTTAACTGAGGTTTTTGGAGACTGTGAAGTCTGGCACGAGAAGAACCGCCGATTACATAACACTATGAAACACAATTTTTGTTCCTGGGTAGCAAGTGTCATTTCGTAATTGCTTATGCCAAAAAAGTATAGAACATGGCTATTATTCCCCACAAACTTTGCTTTTGTGACCACCAGGATAGTGATATTTTGAAATTTACCTATTTTCAATAAGAAAACGGGGGAATTTTTTTTGTCTTTTCGTTCACATAAAGTCAGAAAACAACATATGAATCAAAACTTGCATCTATTTATACTAAAGTAATACAAAAATTACGACAAAAGATTTAGAAGTGAGTAGTTTTTCGAGATTGTTCCTCCCAACAGAGAACTCGGTCCACTGTGGCCAGTCCCGCCTGTGGTAGTGCGCCTTGGTTTCTAAATCTTGTCGTAATTTTTGTGTTACTTTAGTATAAATGTATTTTTATTCACGTTGTTTTTTTCTGACTTTGTGAACGAAAAAACATAAATTTGCCCGTTTTCTCATTGAATATAGGTAAATTTCAAAATATCAGTCACAAAAGCAGAGTTTGTGGGGAATAATAGCCATTTTCTGTAATTTTGAGGCAAAGCAATTAGGAAATAACGCTTACTACCCAGGAACAAAAAACAAATTTGTGCGTGTAATCATCACGTGCCACCTTGGCAATTTGTGTGTAATTACATAAGATGCAGGCAAGCTTCTGTTTCATTGGCAAATAAAATAAATGAAAACATTTGGCTCTGTCAGTCCAAAGGCTTTCTGGATCAATGTTTTACAGCAGCATTCCTTTAAATTGGCAAAGTCTGGACCAGTTTTAACTTTCCAAGTCTCATCAGCTAGGTATAGCTTACCTCGGCCGTCTATTCTTTTGGGGTTGATAGAAATAGCACTGCTGTGGAAGTTAAGTGGTTGTCCCAAGGAAAGTCTCGTCACTGCCATAAGCACGTGACATTTCCACCACTAGAGCTATCAGGAAACGAGTGTTGCGCCAATTTGCAATGGGAAACCGAAACATCGCTTCATTATAGTTCTATTGTATTCAAAACTGAAATTCATAACTTTCAAAATTAATACAGGTGGTTTCATGCATGTTCCGATTAAGCATCTGGTCTACTGTTGTGCAGAGCCTCGTGGCGAGCCTGGGCGGGCGTCTCCTGGCTGGTGTTTGTGAGCGTCTTGCCAAGAACCTGCGACACAACCGTGGTGGCCTCCCAGACCTGGTGGTGTGGAGCAGCCAGACCCTGCAGTGCAAGGTGCGAGGTCCTCGCTGGGAGCCGCAGTCACCGTATCACAACACCAGTTCACCAAAAGCTCTCCGACATGGTTTTTGGTTATCGGGTGTTGCTCCACATGCCAGCAGCTTCTTCAGAAGCGTCAACTAACTTGAGAACCCGGTTTGATCAAGGTGGACAGAATCCATACTCAGCCAAAATCAAGTGGCAGCTCAGTAGTCTGACAGGGTATTATCTTCCAAGCTGCCCAGCCACCTATCTCATGTATGCATTACACTGAATGTGTACACTTGCTTGGATCACAGACACCAAGTACAGGCCCAAAGACCCAAAATGCCAAGCGACCAGAAACAAACAGCACTACATTACCTGTTTTAGCACTGTGGTCACTAACATTTCTTTACCCGAATAACATACTGGCAACTTAAGGATCAGCACCACCTTGACAGTTGTATTTTCTCTTTTCCCCTTGCCCACCTGTGTGCAGCTGGTGGAGGTGAAGGGGCCCAATGATCGGTTGTCCCAGAAGCAGCTCCTGTGGCTGCATGAGCTCATGCAGCTGGGCGCACAGGTGGAAGTGTGCCATGTCACCGCATATGGAGCCAGGGCTGCCAGACTGGAAAACTAACGTGGCCTTAAGACGATTTCTCATACCTTGTTTCCATTAGTATTGGGAACCAGCCTGTGCTGACCCAGGAATATCTCAATCTGTGGCCATCCTGCTATTTATGTCTGTTCCATGAACTCACTCCCACTGCTCCACCTCGCACCTCCTCCCAGGAAGTTTACCTAAGTGACATCACAATACACTCTTTGCGTCCGTGATGACCCCGTGAAATCACTGTGTTCCAAGGTTGGGCAACTCGGTTCTGATCCCAATTAAGATCGGTGTGGCATGAGCATGCCTGTTGCAGGAAAGCGAGCTCTTGGGGCTAGCCTGTTCGCATGGTTCCTGCAGTCTATGGAAATGAGGCATTGGTGGTCTCTGCTTTGGAGTGTTTCCCTTGGTGCCAGCTGAATCTTGGTGATTTTTAAGTCCGGTGCCTTGAACAAAGGCTTAGACCCATCATAAAGGAACTTCGTCCTCAACATTTAGCTACCAATGATCCACCATTCCACGTCTTAGCACAAAATGTGTGCAAAGTAGATTAAATAACACCTGAATGTAGATTTGCGCGTCTATATTCAGGTTAGACTGGATCATGAGGACTTGCCTGTACATGATAAAATGGGTTTCTTCCACGTGGTTGCCTTTACAGCAAGATTAATTTGGCTTATTCATTTTTTTTTATTTAAAAAATGAAATTCGGCTTTCGTATAGGTCAGAGTAATAATACAGGAGTGATTTTACTGCCAGTGAACAAGCAACAAATAATCTGCAAATTGCAAAGGTTTACATTTCAGAATAGATGCGCTACCCCCGAGAGCATGTTTGTGCCTCTCGTATGGAGTTTAATACAACATCCAAAAATATTCTTATACAGTGCCATGAGAAGTGTTAACTGTGCAACCGTTGTGTTTTACTATTCAAGCTCAGGGTGCACAAAACATTTAAAGCGCAATTTAACCTGTGTGGGTTATTAAATGTTCATCTAACTTTAATTTCACATTTGACACGCTGTGCTTTCAGACTAATTATGCTTTTTTTGAGTGCAAAATTGTCAAATCGTGAATGTAAAAATACGCCGAGTAAATGCACTAAAATTATTCTGGCTTTGTCATGTTGATTTTTTTGCCAAACTTGGAACTGAAAACGCAAGCCATGTGGTAAACCAGTGCACGTTAGACTTTCCTCAAAGGCTACGTTGGTGACATGCTGCACACGTTGAGTCCGTGCGCTTAGAACTGCATGGATATTTCCTTGTTACATTCTTTATTATATTTGGGATACAGGTTGTCCAAAAAGCCCAAAGCAGCGACAAATAAAAACAACACAACAGCAACAACGGTGAAAAGACAGTGATAGGATGTCTTCCATTTCTATGATGGAATTAATCAAGCGGAGCGGTTAAAGTGCGAACACAGAAGTCACAGCACTTGCATACAGCGAGTCCGTCTTGTCATTTGGGAGCCTAAGTGGATTTCAGTATACTGCATGCAAAGCTTTCATTTGTCACCCCGGAGGAAATAACCAGACACATTGGCAATGGTTTTTATGTTTCTTTTTTCAATTTTTCTTGTTTTATCAGTTTCTGCCTTTACTGTACAACTCGGGGAGAAAACAAATCAAGCAAAGCATTATACATCACCTTTATCAGTAAAGTGCAGACACGCAAATTTTCTTACATTTTACATATATCATTTCAAGCTTTGTTTGACAACCATTCATGTATTATTTTTTATTATGATCACGTGATAGCTGAAATCAGATGCATTTAACCTATCATCGAAGTTGACATACAGCTGAGTAAATTTTCACTTGTCATCTTAGTCCATTCGTGATAATGGGGCTTCCATATTTTATGAAAATCTATAACGAAATGTAAATCAACTGCATGTCGTGCATTAACAATGATGGCCGTGGCCATTAAATAGGTGCGGCTGCAGTACATACAAGCTGGGCTGATGTTCAAGCATAAAAACAAAATAGTACAAAGGCCTGAAAACGCTTAAACAGTCCACAAAGGACTGCAACTGTGCGACACGAAAGCGGCAGGTTATGCGCAAAATGTTAAATCATCGCGTCCTCCTAAAACTATTGCTTTCACCAATTTCCTAACCCTACCCTGCTTTTTTGCCATAAAAACGTGCTCCAACATTCCAATCACATTTCTACTTGCGAACACAGAAGAAAGCAAAATGATATGTACAGGGTCTTTCAATCTGCTAATAAATGTAATTAGAAACTAATTCGCAAATATAGTTGGGCACGAGAACTTATCGCGAGTTTGCAGCTAGTTAATCCTCACTTTATAAATCACTCACATTTGGTTGAAAACTTCACAATTAGCATCTGCTCAACAAGCCTTTAATGGACCACTGTCACTGCACTTTTCCACATGCAAAACTGAATGTCATTAACACGACTGCCATAATGTGCCGAAGGGCAACGCAGCCAACACCTCGTGTGTAATTTTTCTCTTTTGTAATGTTTTTACCAACCAAACTGATAAGCACTGTCCATTGATGTGTGATCACAATTACACTGTTCAGGTTTTAGAAAGACCCCAAACTTGCACAAACATCTGTTAACACTACGGTTAAAATAGCATGATTCATAATTAAACTTTTGCAGTTTTAAATAAAATTCTACAGATTTTGCAATGCAGTTTTGTCATCACTCAATCCAGCGGAAATCAGTTATATATTTAAGAGACAACGAATGCAAGAATGGAAATTAAGCTCCATTATCAGAATTAATACTGGCCTTACATTAAACATCTGCACATTAAACATCTGCACATATTTACTTATCAACAGCATGGCTGTCTTTTTTGCTTAAAGAAGGCAGTCCCATTTTAATTAGTTCATTGTACATATAAAACATTTAGGAATAATAATGAATTGTGTGGCTACTTTGGCAGAAGCTTGCACTAATTTTTGCAAGTCCAGTCATATTTACTGCAATTCAATTGCAAGCAAATTGTGGGTAAAATGCGACAGCGCTTTAACAACCTTCGACTGCAATTATAAAAACAAACTGCTACATTACACGCTTCTTAGAAGACTCGCACCTCAGGATTCCTTTTCATGTTAATTGACAATTCATCGCCTCGCCAAACACTGCTACATTCCTCCCTACCAGTCACTACTGATGAATCCAAAAATAAACTAAACTCACTAACAGAGCTAAGAGAACACGCCATGAATCTATTACACAGGAAATGTTGCACCCTTGGCAGCAGAGCTCTTCAGTTTCGTAACCCTGTATATGATTGTACGTCATGAGGTATTCCAGATTTACTGCTCTTTCGACATTTTCCCAGCGTTAAAACCAGTGTGGGTGGTTGTAGCGGCGACTTGCCACCGAGTGATCCCCTGCTGCGAGCCCAACGCGCGTTCTGACCAGTGTGCAGATTCTGCGCCCCCGATTTGTGCAGGCGCTCCAAGCTGCGCGCTGCTGCCACATTAAAAAGTCAAGTGCAAGAACTTAGAACACCAAGTGCTATGTGAATATTACAGTTTTGGACTGTGGGGGGGCAGGAATGCACTTCTGCGTGTGATCGCTCAGTGCTGCTCGCACTAACCAGGTACAGGCATTCTAGTGAACTTGCAGCAAACTACCGGCGGCAGCGTTTTGCGAGTGGCAATGTGACAAAACTGTAGTTGGTGCACTAATTGAGACCTATTACATTGATCGGCGTGGAACAGTGGGCCAAATACCCTCCAGAAAGGGTCTCTAGAGCTCCCTTGAATGGAGGCCCTTCCACCAGCAGTGGCGTGAGTGAGAAATTCGAGCGCTGCACAAAAGACCGGTATAATGCAGGAAGCCACAAAGTCCTCAGTTGGATTTCACGGACGGAACGGTAGCATGTCACAACTCCCCACTCAAAACTCATGAAAAACCCTCCGCACAAAACTACCGCTTGGAAAATCAGGTAGCGTTTCTACATGCGTTAAAGCTCAAGCCAGGTTGTCTTGACGCCTGCAACATTGGAGTTCGTCCGTAATGGCTACCCCGTAGGTCTTCCTGCCTAAAGATCCCTCTCTGGAAGAGGTTGTGGGGGGGGATACCGGAAGCGAGAACCTTGGGCTCTTGCACCAATTGGCCCGTCCGGCATTAACGACAAAGATGGCGATGGAAAATAAACGAATCGTGCTCTGGTCAGAAATATTGAAAAACAACGTAAAGACGACGACCGAGCCAGCAGTAGGATTTTTTTTCCCCCCGTTTGGCCTTTACGTGTAGAAGATGATCTCTGGGATCTGACCGTCCTCCACCGACGTGCCATTGTTGTTGCCCGCCGCGTAGCAGAACGTGAAGCAGGTCTTGCAGCCCGTAGTGGGGGACTCGTGAATCACCTTGCGGAGTCCCTTGGTGCCATAGTGCGAGTCCGGACCCTGAAATATCCACAATGCCATGCAAGCCTCAATAGAGTGCATACATATGCAAAGCAACAGACCGTGCATATATTAGCAGCGAGACCAGATTAAAATGGTTAGGGTGAGGGGCTCATTCTGCCTTTCATAGCAGCAAAGCGGCATACTAATTTCACCTTCATTAGGGGCCATGCCTACAGTAATAGCCCTGCTTCGCTCACCCACAGTGGTGCCCAGAGCTGTGATAAAAGCTAAAGCACAGTGCGATAAGCCCATCCACATCTGTCTCATTACCAACGTGCAGCGCCAACAGAGATCACATGCTGCTGCTCATGAATGCATTCACAGGATTTTTTTTTTATCAAAAGGAAAATGAACAAATTAATAATCCGGTAACAATTTCCTCACCTGTACATAAAAAAATCCTTAGAACTATGGTATTTTTCTCATTGGTAATCTATGAGTGATCTACGAGGATTAGGGCTTGTTTTATAATGACGAAGGTTAGGAAAAAATTCACTTACCCTCTAATGGTGGTAAATTATTAGTTAAATTGTACATGTGTAATGGGTTCCACGGAGGCACACACTTCAACTTGGAGGCAACACGTTTATTCTACGATCCCAACAGGGTACCGACACAGGTGGTAACTACCACTAATAACTAGACCACAATGGGGTAACTACATAACCGGGTCAGGTCAGTGACACCGACTGCCCCACGATGCCGAACGTGACGGCCGAAGAGCGAAGAGACGTAGCACCACGGGTTAATTTTAGAAGACAGCCCGGATCGGCTCTCGGTACTTCCCTTTTATGCCCCCGAGCGTGGCCTGGCTCCGCCCTCGGCCACGCCCCCTTCGATCCGACTCGAAGGTTCTGGGCCATACATCATGTGTCCCTTTCGCCACCTTTTGGCCTCCCTCATCCTGTCCTGGTCACGTGCCCTCTCGGGTTCACCTAGACTGTCACGTCCTCAACTGCCCTCTCTCTGTCTGTCACCAGAACCATGCCCCCTAGGGCCCCCTTACATGCCATACATACTCTGGTGCCAGAGAGAGGCTCTAACACGCACAGTTCCACTCTGCTCTCAGTAGCAAGCGCTAAATGCCGTAGTGACACAATATACGTCACGACACGTGTATCACACCGTACGTAGCCAACCGAGAATACTAAACTGTTTGCTCTGTAGTAAAACTTAAAAGCTTACGTTTGCTTAACATATTCTAACATTTCGATTTAAAGCTTTCGTGACTGCAATGATTCATCTTCTTTGGTTCTTTCGGAAAAGTCACGTAGAATGAGAATAAAACAATAAATTGATTTATCAATTGATTTTTCGCATTCTACGTGACTTTACCGAAAGAACCAAAGAAGATATTCTAACATGTTAAGCATAATGCCAGAGACGAAGCGTGCACGCAAGCAACAACAGAAAAAAGCAGCTCCCCGACTGCTGACACTGTCCATCAAAGCAGCCGATAATAAATCATCACGGAATACAGATGAATCACAGCAGCCATACCTTAAGGGTGGCACAGGCCGTATAGTTGACGTTGGGCAGGATCTCTATGGGTTCCTTGAACATGACACGAAAGGTGTTGGCGGAGCCATCGCAGCTGAAACCTGTGTCGTTCTGCCCCAGAACAGTGTTGCTCTCCGTGTGCAGCATCTGTGAAGGTCCACAGAATTGCATCACCAATGGCATAGCTATCAAGGGTGTTGGCAGTGCAAATAAACCAGGCCCCACTGGCCAAAGCCTAGGTGCAAGATGACGAAGTGTCGGTATTTGCAGATTGTTGGGACTCGGGATGAGCGGCCATAAAGTTCTGTAGTCAGGTGGGTGTTTGGACGCACCAAGACGACTTGGCCGATATCGTTGGACATGTGTGCGCGTGTGAAGTGCGCCAACGGACACGTAAGGGGAAAGGGGACTGATATAACATGGGGCCCCAATTAATTCCTTTCACCAGGACCCATGACAACCATACTATACGACTCATCACCACCTCTGCGAGCTCTCAGAAAAAAAGTCCTTGGAAATCACAACACATCAATCTACATTTGTTGAGCAAATTTTACTTAAAATGTTAAAAAAACTACATCTTCCAATACTTTTTTTATTTACCTGCTGTAGAGATATATCAGATCAGGGGCCGTTTTTAAATTCTGCGATACCTCAGCCACAACTGCCTGAGCTTTTGCGTTTAAATTGACATGGGTGTCTGTCGATTTTAAAGTGGCTCAAAGGCACCCACCTGGATGTTGACTTGGTAGTCTGTGGGGCCGTGGATGGAGCCATAGAGGCCAAATCCAACGACAAACACTCGCCTGTTCATGGTAAACCTGTGAAAGAAAGGGCACACTTGGTCTCTAGGAGCCCCTTTTTGACATATCATTCATCATTTGCTGTGTGTAAGTTGGTGAAAGGCAAAAGCTAATTAAGGAAATTTGCAATTGTGCAGCGGTACAGTGGGAAATTTTAGAAGTTTTAAATACTTCATTATTACTAGAGGGGATAAATCTGCTGGGTTTCAATAATTTGCAAGCCATTACAGCTGAAATTGACAGAATCCGGGCTCACATTTCGACTCAAGTGCACCTTTTGGCATCATCTGGTCGAACACCATATGAGACTAAGAAAAGCTGTCTCTGGTGTGGACCAATCAGTTTCAAGGACAATGCATAAATGATGAGAGTTGTTTATTGTTTGCATTTGACTGCAGGTATTGTGGTTAATGTTAACATGATTCCTTGCAAAAGGTGTCAGTTTTGTTGCCAGAAAAAAGGGGAAAAAACCCTATTAGTAAAAAGCTGTAAATTACGATTATTACAAACATGGTTTGATGCATGTATCGTACATGTATTATTTATATACAGAGTAAGCTAATGATTCATCCCCACAACGATTTGATGAATCACCACGATGATTAAAAAAAATTTTTCATTTGTACAATCTCATCTGTATTGTTTTTTTTTTCTCATTGTACCAGTGTCCACCACATGAGAATTGTTAACATTTGGATATCATTTGCACACCCAGTTAGCAGTCACCTTATACGGTCGCTGGTGCCACTATAGCCCCAGCGGCTCTCCACCTGCTGGAAGCGATTGATGGAGCACTCCTTCCCACGCAGGCAGCAGCGCGGCCGGTCGATATAATCAACGCGTGGTTTGGGGTTCACCGTGAAGTGCAGGAAAAGGCTGACCACTTCACGATCGGTGAGGATCCCCGACTGTGCCGGGCCTGTGTGTCAAGGTCGACAGTTAAACAAGGCCAAGGTCTTTGAGATCGCAACATGTGGCAATCATTCCCTTTTTTCCGCAAGATGGCACAGTTGCTGTTCATTCGAAACGGACCTTCAAGGTCTGCTGTTAAAGAGTATGCTTCAATATGGAATTAGGTCTTCCTTTTCGTCGCTTACCTCTGGATGCCACTCCCAGATGCCTGTCTCAGAAACCTGCCCTCCAAACTCCATTCTGTACATATCACGAAGATTTCCCAGGTGTGAAGATTTCCCATGCAAGGCATCTTTGTGAGCCGGATGACAGCCTCTTTATGCTATGTTCCCCAAAACACATTTTAGTCGGGAAATGTTATGGTTTTTGGAATTAAGGAAAACCCAGACTGGATAATATCAATCTTGATTTGAAGCTTTCGTGACTGCAGGAATCCATACTCTTTGGTTCTTTCGGTAAAGTCACGTAGGTAGAAATAAAACCAAATAGATCACGACGTTTCAATAGCAACACAAGCCATCGTCTTCAGGCGAAAATCGCGAGCAGCACGATGTCTGCTGTCTGCAGAGAGCAGCAGACATCGCGGCTATCGCGATTTCACCTCAAGACGATGGCTTGTGTTTGCTATCGAAACGTCGCGATTTATTGTTTTATTTCTACCTACGTGACTTTACCGAAAGAACCAAAGAGTATGGGTCATATCAATTTCCCTCCCACGAACCACAAATAGCTGACAGCGAGCAAAGAGACAATGAAAGTGGTTATACCAGCAGCGAACTCCTCAATTGTCATGATGGGGAAACGGATAAGGTTGAGGGCTTTTCCCAGTGCCTGCCGTTTGTTCTCGGGCGTGGAAGGCAGCTGCTGCCGCTGGCACTCCGCCTCCGACCAGCGCACAACAGCGCTGAAGAGCCGGCTCTCCCGCAGTCCCAGCGTGTCCCTCTCCAGCACGGCCACCAGTGTATCTGCACGGGGCGGCAAGGTGATGTCCTTCCAGTGTGATTGACGCACGTCCAGGGTCGGGTTAACGCACGGGGCCTTAGTGGCTGCAGCCTGGGCCTCGGAATGCGAGGGGCCCCAAAATATATATGGCGTTGAAATGGCTGAAATGCAATACACTAGCACTGTGATACATCCCAAGGGTAATTTGGTAATTAAAGCTACACCATCACGATAAATATTACGGCCAGTCATATGCTTAAGTTAATAGTTTTGTTGGTTTTAACTTCGAATTAGCTTTACAAATCATATATTCACACGCTTCACTTGTTTGGTACATGCTGTGAAATCTTCTCTAAGATTATGGAACTATCTTTCATTGGATGTCCAGTCAGAAAAATCCATGCCTCGTTTTAATTCTGTCCTGAAAATGTAGTATTTTCCATCAGGAATGCTGATTCGGAATATGGTTTATAATGATTCACTATCTAGGCAAAATATCAAGGGTTGTGATTAAGGGTTACTGGTTTAATCTGGGTTAACTTGTATTATGAACAGTTTAGTGCAATTTGGAAGATGTCTAAATGCTGTCCATTACTGTAAGGTGCCTCGGAGTTGTAAATATTTAGAGTAAATGTGATTTATTCTTACTATAAACCAATTTGTGCAACTGGTAGTTTTAATTTGAAAGGGATAATGGGCAGCTATGGTTAACAACACACATTTAATATAAACACATTAAAATAAGATAACATTTGAAATAATTGAAGGTCCTAATAAAATCTCTACACCATTGCTTAATATGTTTGTAGAAAAGTGTTGCAAAGTGTTCAATGCATTACTGACCCAGTTTGAGTGTTGATAATTGTATTCAGCGACATTTTTTGTTTTAATGTCAATTTAGATTTTTTTAAATGAAGCACACTTACATTTTTAAATACATATATTTGTAAATATCAAACAATAATCATGGTTAAATGAAGCTAATACTCTGATAGCAGCTGTAATATTTCACCCCATTAATCATGCCAGAACAAAACATGCAGAGAGCAGCACGGTCACTTACTACACATCACAAAGTCCAATGTGGCAAGATTTCATTATGATCAATCGTCAAAAATAGGCTAACGATAACGTAAATATAACTGCACTGCTCTTTCATGACGAATACATTTGGCACTGTCAATTCTGTGCAGAATGTTTCTTTCAGCACTTTGCTCTCCTGCAGGTTTTAATGCACCTGCACTACTTTAATTCGGATCCCTTGGGCTAAAAACTGTTTTTGCAAAATTCAAGATGAATGCATGACAAAAAAAACTGCATTAAAAAATTCAATATGGCTCAGATTTGCATTTAAGTTATGCCTGACATTTATATACTGTGCGATTTAGTGTCTAACATTTTTCCTATTTGCATATATAAGCAGAAATGCGAACATCAATTTATGACAATGATGCATCTGTTCTTGACTCGACCTTGTTCATTAAACCGTTCAAGCATTTTTTTTTACCTAATTTGGTGGACAAAAACGATCAAATGGGTATCATCAAAACCATTGCAAGGATGGAATTGCTACTTTGAGATTGTACAAAAATGAGCAGTAAAATAAGATACGCTGTCACAAAGGTTATTTACACCATTAGACTATATTTAGTAATCCTGATTGAAAGAATAAAGGTGCAAACAAATGGAAGAGGTTTGAGCACCTCACAGATTTGAGTAATTTTAACAAACAGTAAAAATAAATTGCACATAAAAGGCTGCAAAGCTGAACTTAAAATAGGTAAGGAGAGGGAGGCCTTCATGCAGCAGCGGATGAACACTTTGCGAATGATTTATTTTTTTATTACACTTGTTTACCCAGGCAAGCCTGGGTCTAAAGGTTTTTTTAAGGAGGATCCTGCCATGTTTTTGCAGTAGGGAGCGGCTGTGTGTAATCCAAATGCAGTAAATTGCAAATAGTGTTTCTGCAATGGAATGTTTGGCTAATACCATTTACATTGTATCGGATTTTGTTTAGCTATGGGAGGATACTGGAGAAAACTCATGGAAAACAGCAAGAGGGATAACAAACTCCGCACAGAAAGGTTCCTAGATTGGGAATTGAACCCCAGACCCTTCTTGCAGCAAGGCACAAGTGGTATCACTGCGCCACCTTGCTACCCCAGGATGATGATGAAGTATGTTGAAAAGCACGCTCATGTTTAGATTGAGCACAAGTGTACCTTTCCATAATACTTACCCTGATCAATATCTGTAAATCCTTCAGCATTTATAGCATCCGTCGTGTTTTTGTCGATATTTTCCAGACAGAGACTGGCCAGCTGAGGCTCATCAAACAGCCGGGCCTGCCATGATGCACACGCAAGGAACATTACAAGTGGGAATTCCCACTCATTTCGCACAGGTCCAGCAAGCAGGGTTGTTGTTTCAGAAAACTCTGAGATCAATCGATGGTTAACGCCGGGGATCAAGCATCACTTGCCCTCTGCAAGCTTAATAAGTGCTTCAGTAACAGCACAAACAGAACTCACTCTATCAGTCTAACTCAACTGCAATTAAACATATTCTTGGTTCTTTCAGTAAAGTCACGTAGAAGGGAAACAATAAAATAATAAAAATATAAGACAATAAAATTCTCACGACGTTTCGACTGCATCATCAGGTGTGAAAACCACAGAAAGAAAATTTGAAAAAAGTGGCGGTTATTTTTAACGTTAGCACCAAGGAGAGCGATTTGACAGCTTGTTTCAGATGGACGAGTCTATCTATGTTCGGAAAAGAGGAGGGGGGAGACGATAAATTAATGTATGCTGTCTGAAAGCCACCGTAAGCGTGAACAATCAATTAAGACCCGAAATGGTTTATCAAATCCTTCCAATGATTGCTAAGCCAGAATCCATCTTCTCGGTTAAAATTGTCTCTGTGTTTGTATATGTGGATAGCCTCATGAACGAATCTCTCATGGTAGCCAGATGGCTTGCAAAGAACCTCCGTCTTGGAGAAGTCAATGTCATGTGAGCCTACTGAATTATAACAGTGATCTGCCACAGCCGAGGTGTTGGTCCTACCATGTTTAAACACTTTTCCAGCAATAAGGATCATAACAAAAAACACCTCAATCCAACAAGTGATAAAAAAATTGAGCAGGCAGTAGCTGGATATGTAAACGCTAAAGATGTGCGTAGGTGATTATGAAGACATCAACCCCACATTCTAGTGCGATTTATCCAAGGTGGTCGGATGGCTCAGAGGTCATGGCACTGAGCTGGCACTGCTGAGATTCAAGGTTGAAATATTGCAGCCACCTGTGATTAAAAAAGGTGCTCAAGTTTCGTGAGATGATGGCTTCAGCTGGGTCAACAATAACGGCACGAACACAACGAATTAAACATGGTTCTGCCCTTAATTCGGCTAAATTCCAGCTCTGAAAAAGAAGATATAGGTTTGACTGTCAAGTGGCAAACATGACACTCAAACGGCAAAGTGGATGGAAAAGTGCTGCCCCCTGATGTGGACAAGTCAATTTAATGCATTTTAAATTGCCATTTTCTAATAGTGGGGGGAATCGCATACTGTTCTACGTGAGATTTGATTACATTATTCATCTCATGCATGACACCAATAGCACAACTGGGATAAAATTGTGGAAAGGGAGCAATTTGTGTTGCTCTCAGCGATGGGAAAACACGGGGCACCTGCGTGAGAAGCATGAACGCGTTGTCTGCGCGGAGGTTCTTCTTGAGGAATTCCACGCAGTGTGCCTCTAACGCAGGAACCGCATACTTCTTGGCCGTGTACAGAGTTGTCATGACAGTTTCGGGCCCGATCTGCACCTCGTCCGAGTATAGGAACCTTCCGGAGCAACACAAAACAAAACGACAGCGGGTGATTCCCCAAGAGCATGGCCAAATCTTCACTTTTTTCTTGGCAAGTGAAGAACCAGTCTCTTGCTTTTACAAGGTCGACCTGGCAACAAAGAGCAATGGTAGCCAAGCACACCGAACACTTTAAGCCACCATCCCCCATTCAAAATAACTGCAACGGCACTAAATAAGGGTGTGGCCAAGCCCAAGGGAGTTGCATGATGTGCCACACACGTAACAGTGCCCAAGTGTTTTCAGCCACATTCTCAAATATGCAATGTGCACGCGGAGTGAAATTAAGTACCCCGTTCTTGCCATGCCTATGGGCAGGTTTCAATACTGAAAATGGAGGCTAGCTTCTCACCTCCAGCAAGCACTATCTCTTTAGTAAGGGATACATTTTATTCCGCAACCAAACACCTGGTTACATTTTCAAATGTGCCAATTTCAGACATCCAATGATGAAATGGCCACACCATATGGTGTGGCCATTTCATCATTTCGGTAAATAAGACCCAGACACACAATTTACCACATCATGGCTATGGGCTAAGGCGCTGTTGTAAAAGACTACTGCCCTGCTATTGTAATATCAGAATTTCATTGTATTCACATGATAGATGGAGCAGCCCAACTACATGGTCGTACAGTGACATATGCACTGTGTATTGGTGTAACAGTCCATAAGGCTGAAACATTATTTTAAATTACAACATATGTAAATCTACCATATATAGTGTCATATAAATGTTAACATACTAAATTAAAACGTAATGAATAAAATCATTAACTAGAAGATGAAACCGTATTGAAGGTTGCCAAAAATCTAAGCCAACTTACTGGAAAATTTTACTTGTTCTTGATATGGAGCTTATAAATAAGCAATCATTGTATTAAATACTGCTAACAAGTGATGTTGACAAGTGTTGCAATGAAAAGGACTTTGTTTATTCACCAAGAATGAAAAGGATATTTTTCAACTAAAAAATATCCTTAATTTGTTGTACTGTGCAGCACTGCATGCTGGCACTTGACAGACATCCAACAAACACGACACACACCACGGCCATTTACGCTGGAAGCTTTCATCTCTTCTGTTCTCTCTCCACAGAGCCTTTCTGCGACTGCTCCGCAGTCTGCCCTGCAGCAGCCCTGGGTGATTTTCCTTACTGCGAAGCGTCCTACAATACAATATATGGAATTATTAATTAAATTATTTACTTTTGGTATTACCATAATAAAAAATATCAAACAAATTGTCTTTTTTTCCTCTCCCCGAGGTGTCCAATCAAGGGAAACAATGAAACTTGATTTGTCTCTTATTTGACAAAATTCAACTTAATTGAATCATTTTGATATGTGCTACTTTATTTAATTTGTGAGGGTAAATATGAATTATATTAAATTATGTGTAATTTCTTTCCTAATTAAATGTGATATTTTGGATTCAACGGCCACTTAAATTACATTCCAATACATCTGTCATGATGTTACATGCAATGTGTTTGGTGGACCAGCTTAAAAGGCCAGGCAGGGGTCAGCGTGCTCACCGGTGGGTCAGTTTATTGTCGGCGGTTTTATTCCTGCAAGCGCCTGATAAAATATTTCTGGCATTACTGAAGCACGTCATCAGCTGTATGGTGACATTAAAGACCCCGTTTCAACACCGTTACCTAAAGTGCCGTGATAGTGAAAAGCAAAAACCCCAAATATGTATAAAATGTAACTGCAACATTTGTGTAACTACAGTTACTCAATTGTATGTACGTCGAACTTCTTTCGCACCGTACGTAGCCAACCGTGCTAATGCAAACATATTTTAGGGGACCTTCTCTGAAATAATGGGCAAACAATACATCGTTATACCGAATATTTTCTAAAGGAACATACTGCAGATGAGACTGTATCCTAACCAAGTCTGCCAACATGCAATACTACATAAGCCCTTCATCTGGTCTTCTTTAATGCATTTGCAAACAACTAAAGACCACACTAAGTGTGCTACATTTGGAATGCTACATACCGAGGGAAAAAAGAGCAACATGCACACCACATTTAGGAAGCATGCTGAGGTTGGATTGGATCAATATATCAGCTATCCACCACAAAACAGAGAAACGGTTTACACCGGCTGCTACGAATAATCAACTGATAATAAATCATATTATTTGAGAGAGGGCAGCATAGTCCCACTTGAGATTACTTAATTCATATAAAAAATAGAGTCATATGACTCCGGGTGTATCGAACCCCGTGATGTATTTTTAAGTAACAAAAATAAGTGAAGTGTGACAATAACCGTTATGAATGGGGGTTTGTTTGCCTCGGGGCACGAAATAAATTGGATGTCAAGCAGCAGCTTGTGTGGCCAAATCCACCCCTTAGTGGCGAAAACTGGCAGACGCCCCCAGAACACCTTTATTCGACACCCTGCACCCGATTGTCTAGAGATACCCTCTTCTCAACGATAGGTTTCTGGGTGTATTTCGCTCCTGACGCGGCAGACAACGGATGGAACCATTGATATCCCTTAAAGAAAACACAATCAGAAAATAAATGAGAACTGCTCACAAACAACTAATGCTGTGCACGGTGGATGCACAACCTGTCAACTTCCAATTTTTTTTCTCTTCTGCAAAATAAAAACCGATCGTAAAAAGGACCGTTGTGCTGTTATCTGCCACTAGCATGCTGCTAACACGCTCGCGAAATTACATTTCTCCATTGCTCCATGCACATGTGTGCGTGCGGTGCTAAAAAGAGTGCAGTAAATTCTGAGAACAAAAGGCATCAATTACTATTTAGCACCTACTCGGTGCTCGCAACGCTGTTAAATGGTACAACCCTTTCAAGAAGAAGCATGCGAAAACGAAAAGTAAAACTGTAATGTGAGCCAGATTTTTTGTTGTTATGCTAAAGTCAACTTGCGCTGGGATTGATGATGAAAGGTGATGCGCGCACCTGCAATGAATCACTTTAAGATCCTCCCCATCGCATTGCCATTGTTTGCACTGTCCCTACACTCCGCAAAAGCCATTTACACGATTAAACAGTCGGTCATCTCAAAGCAAAGGGAGGTTTAAACAAAAAGAACCGAGAATGAAAATAAAACTGGAAAAAAATTAAGGCTGAAAATACATCTCTCTCTCTCTCAACGCGGTCTGGGTAAGGGTGGGGTGGGGGGGGCGCCGGCCGGGCCGAGTGCGTCGCGCCCCGGCCGAGCCAACCAGGAAAGCGCGAAGGCTTCCACCCGTGCTCGGCCTCAATCAGTCGCCCGCGTTTAGCATGGAAGGCGTGACGACGGTAGAACTCGACCAACCCAAGGTGTTGGAGCGCCCAACTAAACCAGAATGCGCGTTTCGTTTACAACTTTCACGCTGCGACGCACGGGGGGTGTGGTGTGGGGGGTGGCACCACCTCGGCAGCCACCAAAGCGGCCGCGGTCCGAGGCGCCGAAGCCCGCAAGGCGGTTAGGAAAAGGCGTTGGCTCCGCACACGGCTAGGCCGCAGAGACAAAAGCGATGGCGACAGGAGAAGAGAAATCCCCCCCCCGCCCCGAATGCGAGGAGAGACAACCACGAGCTCACTTGAGCAGCGAGAGGAAAGCGGCAGGCTCCACGTCGGGCAGCTCGATCTCCGACGAGGTGGTGGCCATGCCGCCGTTGAACATCGCGTCGAAGACGGCGCTACCCACGGAGAGCACGAACTTGTGCGCGGGGATGCGCTGCGAGCCAAGCCCCTTGCCCACGAGGAAGTGCACGTCGCTCAGCACCTCGTTGTTGAACATGAAGGCGAAGCGCTCCTTCACCGTCGTCTTCGTGGCCTGCCAATTATACACGGGCTCCCTGTAAATGCCGGAGGCCGCGGCTGCTGCAGCGGCGGCGGCTGCGGCTGCAGCGACTGCGGCTGCTGCTCCTCCTCCTCCTGCTGCTGCTGCTCCTCCAAGAACTCCGATACCTCCTCCTGCCCCTGCAGCTGCTGCTGCTCCACCACCACCACCAGCAGCAACAACAGCAGCACCAGCACCGCCGCCGCCGCCTCCTCCTACGCCGCCGCCGCCCGGAGCGGCAGCCACGGCCGCCAGCGCGGCCGCTACCCCCGCAGCGCCCGGCGCTGCTGCTGCTGCTCCGACGGCCGGGCCGCCCGCCGCCATGTCCTCCCTCTGTCCTCGCTCCACCTCCTGCTCCCTGCCCCCTCCTCCTGCCTTTGTCTCCTCCTCTATCCCTCCTGCTCCTCCTACTCCTCACTGCCTTCCTGCCCCTCCTTCTCTCTCCATCATGCTCCTCCTCCTCTATCCCTCATTGCTCCTCCTCCTCTATCCCTCATACTCCATCCCTCTTGCTCCTCCTCCTCTATATCTCCTCCTCCTCCACTATCCCTCATTGCTCCTCCTCTATCCCTCATTGCTCCTCCTCCTCTATCCCTCCTCCTCCTCTATCACTCATTGCTCCTCCTCCTCTATCCCTCCTCCTCCACTATCCCTCATTGCTCCTCCTCCTCCTCTATCCCGCCTCCTCCACTATCCCTCATTGCTCCTCCTCTATCCCTCCTGTTCCTCCTCCTCTATCCCTCCTGTTCCTCCTCTATCCCTCCTCCTCCTCTATCCCTCATTGCTCATCCCCTATCCCTCATTGCTCCTCCTCCTCTATCCCTCCTGCTCCTCCTCTATCCCTCATTGCTCCTCCTCCTCTATCCCTCATTGCTCCTCCTCCTCTATCCCTCCTGCTCCTCTATCCCTCATTGCTCCTCCTCTAAACCTCATTGCTCCTCCTCTATCCCTCATTGCTCCTCCTCCTATATCCCTCATTGCTCCTCATCCTCTATCCCTCCTCTATCCCTCATCCTCCTCTATCCCTCATTGTTCCTCCTCCTCTATCCCTCATTGCTCCTCCTCCTCTATCCCTCCTCTATCCCTCATCCTCCTCTATCCCTCATTCCTCCTCCTCCTCTATCCCTCATTGCTCCTCCTCCTCTATCCCTAATTGCTCCTCCTCTATCCCTCATGCTCCTCCTCCTCTATATCTCCTCCTCCTCTATCCCTCATTGCTCATCCTCTATCCCTCATTGTTCCTCCTCCTCTATCCCTCATTGCTCCTCCTCCTCTATCCCTCCTCTATCCCTCATCCTCCTCCATCCCTCCTGATCCTCCTCCTCTATCCCTCATTGTTCCTCCTCCTCTATCACTCATTGCTCATCCTCCTCTATCCCTCCTCTATCCCTCATCCTCCTCTATCCCTCATTGCTCCTCCTCCTCTATCCCTCATTGCTCCTCCTCCTCTATCCCTCATTGCTCATCCTCTATCCCTCATTGTTCCTCCTCCTCTATCCCTCATTGCTCCTCCTCCTCTATCCCTCCTCTATCCCTCATCCTCCTCCATCCCTCCTGATCCTCCTCCTCTATCCCTCATTGTTCCTCCTCCTCTATCACTCATTGCTCATCCTCCTCTATCCCTCCTCTATCCCTCATCCTCCTCTATCCCTCATTGCTCCTCCTCCTCTATCCCTCATTGCTCCTCCTCCTCTATCCCTCATTGCTCATCCTCTATCCCTCATTGTTCCTCCTCCTCTATCCCTCATTGCTCCTCCTCCTCTATCCCTCCTCTATCCCTCATCCTCCTCCATCCCTCCTGATCCTCCTCCTCTATCCCTCATTGTTCCTCCTCCTCTATCACTCATTGCTCATCCTCCTCTATCCCTCCTCTATCCCTCATCCTCCTCTATCCCTCATTGCTCCTCCTCCTCTATCCCTCATTGCTCCTCCTCCTCTATCCCTCATTGCTCATCCTCCTCTATCCCTCATTGCTCATCCTCCTCTATCCCTCATGCTCCTCCTCCTCTATATCTCCTCCTCCTCTATCCCTCATTGCTCCTCCTCTATATCTCCTCCTCCTCCTCTATCCCTCATTGCTCATTCTCCCTCACTCCGGCCCCCCTTAGTGTTCTCCCTCTGCATCGCTTCGGATCATCCTTCAGACCTCCACACCCTCCCCCTACCCTCCTTTGTCTGCTCCCTCCACTCTCCCCTTTAGCCCAGGGGTAGGTAACCTGCGGCTCTTTAAGGACCATCTTCTACGAACATGCATGGCGGCTCTTGAAATATTGACGGTTTTTCTTAACCGAATTTGGAGAAAATGGCTGTAATTTGGGTTGCGAACTCCTGACATATTCTCCACACCTGTCGACCCCTCCTCAGTGCCTACCTTATTACATACCAATTCAGACCTTATTGGTCACCCCGTGTCCTTATAAGTATCAACGTTCATCCCGTAAAGTCCCGTCACTTGGGAGAAACACAAACAAATAGACAATTTTTTTTTTACCCGGTATTGAAATGGCTGTACGCCATATGGACCTGAAAACTCAATTTCCCTGTACAAGAATACGGGTAAACCATATGGGTTGACACGGTATGTATAAAATTTTGATTGAAAGCTTTCGTGACTGCAGTGATTCATATTCTTGGTTCTTTCGGTACAGTCACGTTGAAGGGAAACAATAAAATAATAAAATATATTTGATTGTTTTATATATTATTATTTTATTGTTTCCCTTCAACGTGACTTTACCGAAAGAACCAAGAATACGGTATGTATTATCACTCTGTCTTTTCCTATACTCCTCACCCATCCTCCCTTCTCTTCCTCTGCTCCCTCCTTCTCCCTGTCTCTCCCTCCTCCCTGAGTCCTTCCCTTCTCATTCTCTTCCCGTAGTCCATGAGCCCAGAGTGGATATTTCCCTTGTTGGGACCACCTCGGGTGGCATACATTTAGTGGCTCAATTTTTTTTATGTGGCCAAAGCAGCGAATGATGTAATAACAGTTTGAGCTGAGTGGGTTATCAAGTAATTCACTCTTATTAGCCCATCAAAATTTTATCTGTACATATAAAGACATTACGCTTCTAGGGACAAATAACACTTGTTTTCTTACCCCTACGGTCACTGCAGAAGGATCTGTCAGTCAGATCGGTCTGTTTAGCCATGAATGCTTCCGCATTAAAAATGCCATAGTTGCATAGATATACAGTATAAGCAAAGGCTAACATAAAGTAACTCCAAGCTGCTTAGCCATAGTCATTTCAATGGGCAGCTAAGAGTAGTCTATGAAGCCTTCATAGCTGTACCATAGAAACTTTCATTTATAAACTAGCCTTTTGCCCGTCCAAGGACGGGTGTATTGCAGTAAATCTGAAACTTGCAAGCGAAAATCAGACCGCGACGTGATATATTCATTGCATCCATTCGTGTGCAATTTGTAAGGGCGCGGTGACACAGACCTATTTCATTTAAAGGTTATAATCCCTCGTTCATCATGACGTCCTTTTTACTTTGATGTCTCAACAACAGCGTTACGGAGATCACGTGACGTGAGGGTTCTGCCTTTGTAGTGAGGGTTGTAAGTTCATAGTTCATAGTTCATTTATTTGGTATAGCCCTGTGAGCCATTCGGCTCTTGAATCGGGTGCAACCGCAACAAACAAAAAAACATGAACAAGAAAACATCTTAAAGTGATTATGTGACTGTGCAAACAGAAAATACAGGAAAAAATATAAAAAATATTCCTGAAATAGCACCGTACACCAACGCTGTGTGCATAAATGCCAGTGGGATGCAAGTCAAAACAACAACAACCACAAAACAACTAAGATTAAGGCCATCAGTCTAACTCCATAAGTTGACGCCGAGGAGGTGGGAGGAGGCGCCTCGCCCCCTCCATGTGGAGTGACGTCAGCCGCTAATTATTATTAATGGTGGGGGGGGGGAGTGTCCATTTGGAGGACGTCACCTGTTCATGATTATTAATGAGGGGGGCTGGTCGATGTGGAGTGACGTCACGAGCGTTAAGGACAGACATTCTTGGGTGATTATAGTAGGTATAAGGAATACTACATGGGTAACGTTTGAGTAGTTATCAATCCTCTCCATATGTATGCACTTCTCAGTAAATTATGTGTTTAATGAAACTATTAACTTTGACTAAAATGACAAGCGTTTTAAACTTGTCTGATCTTAGAATATAAGATGTTATGTAGTGAGGGCCAATTTTAATCGCTAACCCAAATTATGGTTGGCCTTAAACAAAAATATAAAATAATCAATACATTTATGGATAGATACGCTGTTTTATTGTGTTACTTAAACAAACACCTTAATTTATTTTTGTAATGATGACTTATTCACTCAATTAACTTTAAAACTTAAACCACTTATTTACATGGATTAACTTCATAAGCAGATGATATCTCATTGTGGAAAACTATTTTCGTGCAAGGGAAATGTGGGTTGAAACAAATATATTAAAGTGTGGATAAAAAAAAACACCCACGCAATTAATCAGCGAGAATATTAGCAATGAATCCAGTGACTTGTGGGGAGTGATATCTGAATATTTCCAGAGTTCCCAACTTTGCCAGCATGCACTAATATGGTGAAGTATGGTCAAACCCCACCCAATAACAGTGGATTGACAAAGGGCTTGAAATGATAATTTATCAACAAAATAAATACCAATACAGTGCAAGGTCTTTGAATTTTCAAACTGAGAGCTGTAAATTTGACATACAGTATTTCATACATTTCAATGGTTCAATGCTGACATGATACCATCCCCTTTAAACACCATGCTACACATTAGAAGGAGTGGTCTCCCCTAAACCGCATACGCATAAACCTTGGCAGATGCGGATACCTGATCCACAAATAGAAAATTAAAAACTTTCCATTGTGTGACTGTGCTCATCCAGAACAGACCATACAACATGCCTGATCAACAAATACGAAGGAGACATTGCAGTGATACACTCCGCTGCTCCTTACGCGGTTATCTGGCTTGACCACCTGTATGTGAAATTGCCATACGAAAGAAACAGCCATACGAATGAAAAAAATAGACTTACTCTCATTTATAGGTAGTGATATCGCGTGATGTCACCGTGTAATGCAGGCCCTAGAGGCACGGCGCGCGGTGTATTGACATCGCAGACACCACTTGGATGTGGGTGGAGTACCGGCCCTAGAGGGGCTCGGTGAGCGCTGACTGACAGCGCTGGATGGCACCACGCTTGGCTTGCAGTGCCGACCCCTACAGGATAGGGTGTGCAAGTGCCGGCCATGGAAATGGGATGACTAAGGGCCGTGGCATTCTGGTTGACCCCAGAGGACACGTGAC